AGCAATATAATTTTCAAAATGTCACGAAAGCCACAGGACAAGCCCGTCCAGTCTATATTTTATAGAAACACAAAGCGCCAATCGCAATGCTTCTTTTTCTAACCAGCATTGTTTGCTCTCAGCACCGTGATGCAGGCGACGAATCATGCGGAAAGGAGTGACTGAAATTTTTCACTCTAATCTATAAGCACCTTCGTATTGAGATCGAATCTGGCCTAAAACAGTGCTTACCCAAGGGAACATTTTCTTATACAGGATAAACTGGCATAGCCTGGATGTTGAGGTTTGTTCTTGACAAGATGCCGGTCAATTTAATTTGCAAATAACCATCACCCTCGCTGATTGATGATTTTTTGTTAAATGGAACAAAGTCGTATTTCATGCTCTACTCGATTTGGAAGCTACTTAATTGGACAGTTTCTGACAGTTTGCTTGTGTAATCGTCATAGTTCCACCATTCGTCCCAGTGCATTTTGTTTTGGTCCGACCCACAGACAGGTAAAAGTGCTGTTCACCACATAAAAAACGGGATAATAAACTTGCATATATCTGAGAAGTTACATACGCGTGAGGAACACGTAGTTATTTATATTAGCTTCAAAATCAAAAATTTATTTGAAGCTTTCCCAAATCACCTATAACGTGTCTATCGAGGATAAAAGCGCCGAGAAACATTTGCGAACATAGATCATATAATTTGAAGGTGCATTTACTTATATATCTTTGAGGTGAGGATCTTCTATTTATGTTGCCAAATCTTCAGACAGGAATTAAATATATTTTTATTATCATTGCTAAATTTGACTTTATGAAGTTCACATAACCGCCTGAGACCGACATGGAAGGGCGATACTCGAAAATACGCCAGCTGTTGAGTCTTCGGAAACGTGCTTTTGTTAGCTGTTTTGCAGTGTAAAATACTGGGTTGCAGGGTATGCCAAAAAAGACTGTGGTCACATGATATATCGGAAGTAAAATACACGAAATGTGCAGAAATAAGGAGATGACAGGTAATTTTTCTAAATAATCCCTTACACAACGCTTTAATAAAAAAAAAGAGATGCATAGAAATGCATAAAATGATATTCCTAATTAAACATAAATTGCGCGCAGGGCAAACGAAGACTCTTAGAATCCTAAAATAAATCACATTTGGGCCTCGGCCTGCCTCAGCTCGGAACGTCGTGAGATACTGCCTCGAGAGGCTAAAGTTATATTCGGTTTTACGTGCACTTGTTTTGGGACCTTACTTCACGACTCTGTCCTTTGTCAGTCCTGTGCTCCAACATTTCATTAGGCTGCCGTATATCATTGCGAGATTGCTATAAATACCACACAACTTTACACTTTGGACGTTTACTGCTAGTGTTGCAAAAGTCGCACTTCACAAGAAAGCTGGAGTGTTTAACGTGGTTTGCACGTGACGTAATCGCACTATCTGCTGGTGGTCCTTGCCACTTGTTCTTGCTGAGAAAATCAAATCCGGTGGGGCAAAATGCACGCTGCAAAAGGTCCGCGCTCAGTGCAAGCTATAGAGGCGGACATTTTCCTTCTTGGTGCATCGTCGTTAGGCACGGCGCGAGTATCTGGCACGACGAAAACGTGCTTTCTGGCAAGAGTGGTTTTGCAAATAAACGTTGTACCAACTACCCATCTGTCACTATCGTTTCCAAACCACGCTTTCTGGTCTGCGCCGAAAATGCGGGGCAGAGGAACTTAAAACTATTCCCCTCCACCCTCCCCCCTCCCCACTCCTTTTTCTTTTTTAGTTGCTCCTCGAGAGAATGCAATTTATTCCTCAGGGATTGCCTGCTCCGAATTGAGTGGTGTTCATTCAACAATCATATTTGCGTCACTTGTTAACAGTAATTGTTCCTTGCTTTTACTTTGCACCACACTGTGAAGTTTAAACAAAATACAGGGGCGGTCGAAACTTGGAGAACTTGAGAACGACACTTCTGTGAGACTTCGAGCGGCTGCCAAGATAGGATCTTTCTTTTCAGGTATCCCTCCCCTACACACTAATAGTTCTATGTAACGTTGGACAAATGCGTCACATTTAGACCTTTCAACACTTCTATTCTCGGGACAACTTTCTGGGGCAACTTTCTGGCAAAACAACGAAAGCATGTTTGGGAGCCTCAATGGTGTGTAGACATGTAAAATGGGTTGCACAACATTTTTTTGTTTTCACCTGAAGTTCAGTAGATACCGCTAAGATGTAATCCTTGACGTTGATAACTTGCAAAAACATCCATTAGTTTGCCCCTCCGCGAAATGGCAGACGCAGTCGAAAGGAAGAAATGAAACAGCTTTCCCCTCCTCAACTCGCAATTAGAACTATATATCAGCCACGTGATCTGATGCTAATATATACACCGTCAGTGTTTATCATAGCCGTACGCAGGGTTGGCAAAGCATAGAGCATGGGCTGATCTTCAGATATAGTTTTAGTTGGCCTATAATACCCGAGCCCCACTAAAGCGACAAACAGAAACAAACGACAGCGGCAAGCCTCAAATCAGAGTACTTCGCGATTTGACAGGCTTTGTAGAATAAGGAAGGCTATGCTGAAACACGAGCATCATGCACACGAGGGTACCATTTGCAGGCTTGTAAACACTCATGCTAACTTCACGAGCTGCGAACGCATGCTGCATGTGTCTGAGGCCTGTCGCTGTCGTTTATTTTCTGTTTCTAGCTCTAGTGGGACTCGGGCCCATTAAAATCTTTGAGTTGAACACGAGCCGGTACCCGAATGTTTGGCGATGCTGGTAGTCATGAAGCAGAGCATTTGAGTCGGGGTCATGACAATCGGGTACATCATGGTGTCACGTGACTCTCAGTGTGAAGTTGTGATGTCATGTGACGTCACGGTATCAACAACATTAATAGATCTAGTGATGTTCTCAATTTGAATCGACTTAGCGGGGTGAGGCACGTGACGTCAGGGGGTCACGTGATTTGACATTACTTGACAGCATGTCTTGACATCGTGACGTCACGTGACCATGTGACACATGTTTAATCATAGTGCCGAAAAGAAAGCGCCGCAAAAACCCAGGATTTAAGCGCGATCCAAACCAACGCTTCCTTTGGCGCCTGTAGGTCGTGCGGCTGCGGATGTGACGTATTTTCGTGACGTCGCGCCGCTTCCTCGCTCCTTCCGGGCGCGCACAACTTCTTCTCAACGCGCACAAAAACGCGCGGTGACTTAGTAGGACGCTCCTGTGTCCCGGCCAATCGGAGGAGGGCAAGCTAGTTCCGGCTCCGCGTTTCTCGCCTTCTGGCTGCCCTCTCCTCCCCCCCTTTTATTCTCTTCCAACATGACAACGCGATCTCTCTCTCTCTCTCTTTCTCTCGCCGTCTGGCCGGCCAGTCTGTCGTCTGTCGCAGTTGTACGGTTGTACTTTGCTTGTGCGCTCGTGCCGAAGTTTCGCCCGTCCAAACCAAAGCGCACGGTTCTGACTCAGAAAGCGCGCCCGGAAACAGCAAAAACGCCACGAAATGCGTCACATCCGCAGCCGCACGACCTACAGGCGCAAAAAGAAGCGTTGGTTTGGATCGCGCTTTATTATACATTGCAATTCTGTATAGGACGATTTGATCAATACGTAGAGGAATACACGTCCCAATTTTTTATTCCCAAATATTAAATTTGTAATCCTAACAAAAAAATAAAAAAAAATACCGTGAACCGTTTTGAACCGGTTACCGTTATATTTTTTCCCGGTTCAGTTCCGGTTCGGTTCCAAGATGGCGGCGAAGATTTCGGTTCAGTTCCGGTTCGGCTCAAAATAACGGTTCGGTTCCGGTTTTCGGTTCGGTTCGGTTCCGGTTCGACACCCTGGTTGGGACTAGAGCACTATATAGCTCCTTCGGAGCAGAGTAGCGCAATCTAGAACGCCGCCTCTCGGCGACTAGCGGCGAACGCCCGGAGGTTCCAACTGCGGTCAGAAATGCATGGAGAACGTGAGAAAATCGCTGTTTCTTCAGTATTGTGGGGGTGTACGGAGTGGCAATTGTTTTTGACATAATAATGGAACATTTTAGAATAATTTGCGCTAAGTTTTGTGCCCCGCAAGGACCTGACTTTTTTTTAAAAATTGCCTGAGCGGCATCATGCAGCAGACGACACGGCGACGTCACACCATTCACGTGACCCGCTCCGGCCAACCCGAAAAGCCCATCTCCGCTGCGAGCAAAAATCGTCTGCTTCAAACGCCATTGCTTTGGAAATTGCCTTCTCAAAATTTGCACACGCATCCGATATTATTAAAACTTTGATAAAGTGTTTAGTGCTTTACTAACTTCACGACAGACTAGTTTTGAAAAGTGTGAACTCGCCGTTCATTTTTTAATCAGCCGTGTTGTGTCGATCTCCATGTATTCTCCCATAGGGCGGGCCGCCTCCTGGAACCCTGAGTACCACGTGACTCGCGCCGAGCCGCTCTGTCGGCCATGTTGTCGGCAAAACACGGGGTTCAAAGGATTGCGCTACTCTGCTCCGTAGGAGCTATATAGTGCTCTAGTTGGGACACCATCAGGATCGTGACTGGCGACATCATGATTCTTCTATGACGTCATCAGGCGATTCCTTTCCATAAGTCTATGGCCCTTTCACTCGCGAGCTAGATGGCGATATTCGGAAAGGTTGTTCCACTGGCTTGTTCCGTGGATATCAGGGATATCAGGACGCAAAGAAATATGCACTGTTTGTGATCCAACGTAATGTGACCTCGAAACAGTTTGCCAAGGCCATTCAGAAAATGTAATATGTTGCATTTCACGCAAAGCATACCCGAACCGCCCGAACCGAAAATGACAACCGGAAGTCGGCAATATTTTACTTCCGAATTAAGATACTGCATTAAATAATCTTACGTTATTATAATAATATATCTTATAAGCTGCGAAAAAATTATCAGTTACAAATTTGTTTTGTCAATTTGTTTTTCTTTGCGTTGTTTTGTTCTGTAGCGCCGCCGCACGGCAACAATGCCAACAGAAGCTGCAGAAGCTACAAAAGCCGCCTTCAAACAAGGCGCGAACGGTTGTTTCATATGTGTTCGAACTTTTCGCCATTTCAAGGATTGTTGTCAACGTCTATCGCTGTCTGAAGTAAGTACACTCTACCAACTAATCAAATTTCGCTCGACAGCACGGTATAAAGAACTTTCTTGACCGCCGCTAACTTTTCTTCGGTACCCCCGATCCTCCGTTTAAGATGTTTCTCCGTGTGTCGGCTCCCCCGTAAACTTGCAATCGGCCTCCTTTCCTGCTCATCACATCGAATCGACCGACAGAAATGCACATAAAAAGGCAGTTTAATCCACGAAGCTTGGAAGTAATCAAAAGAAACGACGCTGTTAATGATGTTGAAAGCAGCTTCCGTCAAAGCTGCCCCTACCGACACCCTAACCCACTTCGAACCAGTGCAGAAACGACCATGAATTCCGCGCGTCCGTACTTCGGGAAATATCTTTACATGATCCTCGAACTTCGGTAAATGTCCTTACATGATCCTCCTACTTTTAGCTCTGCTTTTTCCTGCGTGTGTCGGGTTCCGCGGCGAGATTTTCAACCGTTACAACGCCTTCGAATCTCTTGAGGCACGCAGTTAACCCTCCCCCTCCCATTTCTCCGTCGTCATCACCAGTTACGTCACGAGTGACGTGATCTTACAGTGCACTTCTGACCCCCTTTCTCTGTAGCTCACTGGGACCTCCTCCAGCTACTAACAGTGACAGGCCAAAATACCTCAAAAATTCAAACTAAATTTCGTTGTACGGATGTGTAGACGCCATCAAGTTAGCCTGCCACACTATGAGGCGACTTGTAGTTAGCAGTCTGATTGCTAAGTTATAGGGATTTGTGACGTGCTCGACGCAGTGGCGGTTGCACAAACGCACGCCGTCACTGAATAGACTCCTTTCAAGCACATGTCGCCGCTGCTCGAGGCTCTGAAAATGCTGCAAATAGACAAACAGCCAACACCGCAAAAAAGATGGCTCCTCTCCAGCTGGCCTGAGTGGTACTCAGTTGGTCAAACGACCCTTTGTTGAGTGGTCGGCCACCGCAAAGCAGTGTTTGCGGGTGGGCCAAGTAGGTTAATATTTTTGTAATGAGCCGCCGCAAACTGAGGGGGGAGGGGGGGGGGGTTAATATGCACTCCCGTTATTTGATCAAATGTTGATTCGCTCAAATGGCGCTGTTCGCTAAAATGTCATTTACTCATGTGACATGACCCCATTGGAAAGGGCTTACACGATCTGTACTATTTACTACTCAAGCGTGCTCCGGACACTAATGTTCTACTGCACTAGTATTATTATTTTTTTTTTTTTTATTGGCAGTCCTTGGTGTTGATTGAACGTGTGTAAAAAATCAATGATAGCATGTCCGTGCTAACAGAGCCGTGCTCCCCGTAACGACCTGTTCGTTTAAAAAACTAGCGGGAATGGGGCAAAAAGGCCTTGCCTGTTTGCAAACTTTTTTGTAACTTAAATACTCTAGTCCGTCTTGTAAGGACCGCATGATTTAGCGACACGACGGCAAATAGATTGGCTTCAGTTTCTTAATAATATTATTCTTAGTATTTTGCGACTGTGTCTTAACCAGTTGTCGGCAATTAACATAGGTGGGTCTACAAGAAATGGACAGGATTTATCAGTCATTGATACATTGCATAGAACCACTCTGTTTAAACCTTTTTCGTCCTCAACACTAGTATAAGCGAATGGAACTCCCTAAAAGCAGTAACGTCACTAGGGTCAGTAGCACCCAAGTAGGCGGCCCGCTCCGACATCCTCCCCTAGTGACGCCAGCGCCTAAAAGTGTTATTAGCTGAGGATCACAGACTATTTTTACCAATGTGATGCATAGGCACGCCTTTGTCGAGTGGTTGCCAGTGTTACTACCATTTGTTTTTAGTTTTTTGTTGTAGGAATTTTCTACCTTGGCATTTACGCAAAGTGCTGGCAGTACGGATAAATAAATAAATAGAGCAGGGGCAGGAATCATACTTTTGGGTATTGCAGCGTGACCTTTCGCCTCACATTGCTCCGAGCTGCGTGGCATCCACACCCCCTTCCCTGGTGACCTCTCAATACGAAGTGACCTCTCGGCCCGAGATGACCTCGGACGTGGAGTGCACGCCGCCGCCTGCTCCGCGCAAGCGTACGCAGAGTAGCCGGGTGAGCCGCTTCCTGGGGGTGACCTCTCTTCTCGAGGATCCCAACGACGATGAAGCGGAGAGGGTGTGCATGCAGCAGGAGCTCCTGCAGGAGCTGCAGGCCAAGCACATCGAGTCCCCCGGAACGCCCAGCAGAGGGTAGGGTTGAACACTTTGTTCGGACTTTAAAATAAACAATAATAGTTACACTAAACTTTGAAAGCGAGAACAATTAGGCGCACCTGCAGCGGTACACTTGTTGACTGTTTATTTATAAATGCTGTTCGGCAGCTTTGTAACTGGCCTTCATTTTCGGTTCCTTTCATTCTATTTGCTTCGCTTCATCAGTGTGGTCGCACGACAAGTTGTTGCCCTTCTGGATGCAAGAATGTTCTTGTCCGCAAGGCGTTTTTTATGTGGATTTTTGTCCCTGCCTATTTCGCTGGCTGGGCATCTTGGCGAGACATCAGAAGGTCAGTTGCGGTGGTGCAGATCTGACACGCAGAAGAAGCTTCATGTGCTCCTTCTTTTGTTTTCTGCCACGGAGTTTGGAGTAGCTCTCAATTTGTCGGTTACACCAGCCTTGAATCATTTATTGGTGCGGTTGTACGTCTTCATGTTGTGTCAGTTTCTCAGTTGACAGATTGTCTATATCAAAAAACGCGGTAATTTGTCCTTCGTATTGTATCCTCATATTGTATCTTTGTTTCTTTGGTCCCAACGCCTGCTATAATTACCGAGGAGGATTGACAGTACTCCGAAATACTGTGAGCAACTTTATTTTCGCCAGCTCTGTGTTTTGGGAATTTCTCGGCAATAATTCTGGCAATATTTTATGTGCTCAAAATTGTGCGATTTAAAGTGATATGCTATGTGTTTGTTACCATTGGCTGACACATTCACTATCTGAATTTTTTGCATTGTTTTTCAAGCCGCTAAATTCTTGCGAACTAGGTTTTTGCAAAGATAAGTCATTTACGGTAAATGAATCGTAAATGTTTGGTTCATGGTTTGCACACACCACAGATCAGGAGTAGAGGAAAGACTTTTCTTACTCTCACTGTGACAGATCCTCTCATAAAAAAATGAAACTGTCATTATTGGTCTTAATTAAATTGTCACCTAAACTTGAGTGCCCAAGATCCAAAGCAATGAAAGCGACCCTTTTGTAATAATTTGTGTGGAAATTTATGCATACCATCTCTTTCAGTCGGCAGTCTATGGGCTTGGGTCCAACCGGGCTAAGTGACGTCCAACTGGCTGAGCACTATGCCAACTGTATCCGTCTCTCGAACGAAAATGTGAGAACCCTTCTCTTTTGTGTCTGTTATGGAGTGGGATGGCCACTTTGACAGTTCCTTTGATAAGAAACCATGTTGAATATACCTGAGACTGGGGTAGAAAAACATAAAAGTCGAAGAAACAGAACGGGACAGGACGACGTCTCAAACTCAGCTACCAGGTTTATTCAGTCCTCCTCCTTATATAGTCCACAAACAGCCCACCACCAACACAAAGGGGCAACTCTAACCAGTTCAACCGCCAAACCCTCCAGACAGTCACTACCAACACAAAGGGACAACCTCTAAACAGTCCAAACGCCAAACCCTGTAATTCCAAACTAGCGCTATGGACGGCCTTCATGCCGATTCACAAAGATAATTCAGCAATCTCCCCCAAAATATAACAAAAGGACCATTACCTCTTCCAAAGTAACAAGGATCCACAAACACATAAAAAAAAAAAAAAAAACTTCTTCTTTTTTTTTACTTAAATTGTTTTTCTTTCCTCCTCGACGAAAGGATGACACGCACTTAACGTAAAACGGTGCAAAGTTGAACAGTACAGCTTTCCCTCTGTCCACCCAAAAAAAGAAAAAGAAAAAAAAAATATATATATACATATATATATATACATAAATATAACTATATTTTTAAAAAACTTTTGGAATTTTTACCGAACTGTAGCGACGCCTGGCTTATGCAATTACCTAAAGACTTTATTCGCACCGTCTCCCTTACTAGCCTTTTTGTATCATTCCTCTCCTTGTGAATGATTTCTGTCTCCGACCAAATAGCAGTGCAGTTGTTACATTCGTTGACATGTTTTGCGATTTCTGAGTTCGGTGCATTGTTCTTCACGTTTCTTTTGTGTTCACTTAATCTGTCGTTGATGCATCGTGATGTTTGTCCTACATACTTAAACCCGCATTCCAGCGGTATCTCATACACCACACCATTCTCGCAATCTACCGATTTTTCTCGATGGTTCTTTCTGCAATTGTTCGCACTTGTCTGAAATGGCGTCAATCTACTAAGTTTAAAATCTGAGCTGAAGACCGTGTCTACTCCAAACTTTTTCGCACAAGCCTTCAAGTTGTGCGAAATTTCATGAAAATAGGGGATCACGGCGAATCCAGTCCTTTTACCCTGTTCCTTTTCTCTCCTTCCTTTAATAACTATTTCTAACTGCCGTTTGATAAAACTGTCTTTATACCCTACATTGATCAACCTTTTGCATTGTCTTTTAACCGAATCCGTGATGAAATGAACACACGATCTGTCCAGCGCGTTTCTGACCAACGACTTTACAACCCCAGCTTTTACGGTCTTGGAATGACAGCTAATCCTTGGCAACACCGGTTTAGAACTTTCTTTTCCGTATTCCCAACATACCCCTTGATTTACATGTATACGTAAGTCCAGGAACTCTAGGACCCCTCTTTCTGGTTTTTCCGTAGTAAACTTCAATTCCGGAGCCGCTGACCTTATCTCGCGTTCCAGACTGCCCGTTAGATCATTTGTTACCGTGCAAATTATGATGTCGTCTACATATCTTCTTACTAACGCCATACCAGGGGACTTCTCCTTTAGTCTGTTATGCACTACTCGATCCAAGGAGTTTAAGTACACTTCCGCCAAAATCGGTGCGACCGACGAACCTATACAAACCCCGTCTTTTTGAACATACTTCCTTCCTTCGTACTCGATTACCGTCGACTTCAGGTAAACCTCAAGGATCGTTAGGAAACTCTCTACGGATATACCTGAACCTGCTTGGAACTTTACGAGATTCAACTCCAATGCCTCTCTCACTCTCTGCATCAACCGAGTCTTTTCTAGCGAGTAATAAAGGTCCTTAATATCCATGGACACAACAGAACATTGCTGTCCATGAAATTTTTCCAACATGTCAATCAGTTCATTTGAATTTTTTAGAGACAAAGAATTATCTAGGCATGCATACATCAACCCTCGCTGGAGAAACTTTGAAACTACTTTCTGCCAGGTTCCGTTCTCGTTGATGACCGCACGAAGAGGCATTTCAGGCTTATGGTCCTTGAGAAAGAACTTGATACTTAATGTCGATTTTGTAGCACTCGTGATACTTTTTGCTACATTCTTAAAGTCGTCTTCATTCAGAATTGCACAAATGTTCCCTCTCAACTTTCCTACATTGCCCGCCCACTCAGAAAACAAAGATTCCATTGCAACTTCTGTTTTTTTCTTGAATACTGCCATTGGCAAGACGGCAAACTTTCCAGACTTATCCGTTTCCAATAGTTTCAGGGACTTTGTTTCTAACTCCTTCTTAACCGCGTTAACTTCTCTGAAATTTCTTTTGTCCTTCGGGTACGCCTCTCCCATGACTTTCTCCATCCTACTAATAGCGTGATCTATAAAAGCGACCTCTTCTTCCGGGACGACCTTTCTGGCCACAGTGTGAATGGTAGACAACACGTCAAGTCTCGAGGGTTTTACATCTAAACAACACTTCGGTCCCTTAGCTAACACTTCCTCCGTCTCGCGTGTTAACGCTTCCCCACATGGATTGATAGGAGACTGTCGAGACTTAGGCCATGCATCAATCCCAAACCACGTTTTTTGCGGCCCATTATTAACAATTTTTGAGTTTTTTAGACTGTCCAAAACATGTCTGCGCTTCACATACCATAGTCGGTCGAACAGGGTTATTTTGCTGCTGGTCCATTGATGGTACTCCCGGTGGTACTTGAAATCATCTCCCAGGAGAAGAGTCCAAAGTCTGTCGCAGGCTCCTTTGATGTCCTGGATCCTTTTGCTGGCTCCGTCCCGGTAGGCCTTGATGATCTTTTTCTTGGCGTACCAAGGAACACTGGTTGACGACAGATGCTTGAAGTTTTCCGGGTCCACAAACTTTTTTCGAAGACAGATGCCGAAGAATGCCACATCCGCTTCCAGCTCGGCCAAACGACGGCCCAGCTTGTCCAAAACCGTAATAGCTTGGAGGATTAACGTTCAACATGGTTAACATCCACCAGCTCGCCTGCACCCTTACTATTGTATCTTTGATAAGAGTCCATGCCGCTGGGGAATTTAGTAGGAAGCATCTGCCGAACCCTTTTTGACTGACTTAATCAGGGGTGGAACGGCTGCGCCATTTGCGCCATTTTGCGCCAGACGCATATGTCTGCGCCATCCTGCGCCATGTTGCAGAAACTGCGCCACAGCCAATACCTCGCGCCATTATGCGCCAGATCGCAAAACGTGCGCCAAGAAACTTTTTATTTTGTCTTGGTTTCGGTTTTATTGACTCGATTCGCAACAATGAGCGCGTTCAGCCTGGTCGGCCTTGCAATCCTTTGTTCTGTTTATTCTCCCTGTGTATCCCGAGTCGGAAGCGCGCGAAAAAACTCGGATTCTAAGCGCCACACCACCTGCGACTGGATTGTTATTCTTCAACCATAATTAACGGTTAAGCAAGTCGACTGAGGTGAGGTCGAGTCGTTAAGCGTCAAATTGCCTGAGGCTCTGCGGCCCGGGATCCGGACGTCAGCCAGTTGAAAACAAATGAGCAAGATATTCCTTTTAGTACTTCATCGTTAGAAGTTGGAACCGCATTCTTGCAAGATAAATCGTGATTTGATTGAACTGAAACGCGGTCCGATCCGAAACCTTTCCGGCCAGCAGCTCTTTTGCGAGTGATGGATCTGCTCGGCGTACTTTAACCTTGCTCCTGCTTATCGCTTCAAATACGATAACTTCGTTAATCGTAGTCTGCTGCTTCGTAATCGAGTTGCACAATAGGATAAACGCGAAATTTGTTGCCCTGTTCCTCCGTGCAACTGTACGTCCATTGCTTGCGCACGTCACGGGGTTCGCACATATAATTACTATGTCAAGCACGTGTGGGTTGTGCGATAAGCAGTGCTGATTTGCATTTTGAGCAGCTGAAAGCCGCTCGGAAAATATCAAGGACGCTATCTTGAGAAACAGGGTACTGGCTTTTTGATTCTCATTAAGGCTCACAAAGTTTCAAGTTTTCGCATCTGTTACACTGTTATCCCATCTACCTAGGTCCCTAACCATTCGTGTGCATCTGTTCTGCTAAGTACGATTGAAATTGCTCCCGTGCTTGTCTAAGACGCAAGCTGAAGTGCAATGAAAACTGATCTGAGCTGCTCCTAGCCTGCTCCAGAACGTAGTTTTAGCTGCTCCCAACCTGCTCCATAACAGCTGTTTCAGCTGCTCCCGTGGCTGCTCCCAGGTACATTTCATGAGTTCCACCTCTGCTTAATGAATCGCGGCAAAAAGAATAAAAACCGAAAGGATGAGGGGAGTCATCTGTGTTCTTTCATGAGCCCTTGACCTTTCGTTTTTATACCTTTCTACTCAGCAGTACATTCATAAGATGTCCAAAGAACTAAGGCCTGAAGACGTTCCAATCGGGATGTGGTTAGGCAGAAGTGCCATGACCAAACGCTACGAAGTTTATTTTAATAATAATATAGTATTATTATTATATTATAATATATATCATATAAGCTCTGATAATAAACTCTAGTTTACTATCAGAGATCCACATCTTGGCAGAGTTGAGACATATCGCTTAGACAATACTAACATGTGCTGTTATTTGGCAATGACAGTATTGAAACACAAACTATATCCAATTTTTTATAAATTTTATTTAAATGATTTTTTGACATGATTTTCTGCATTTATAAAATATAAAAGTCTTGAAACCCTATTTATGGCAAGGATATCTGATTTTCTGTTTTTGTTTTCCGGTAAACAGCAATGGGTACCGATAATACTTTGGCAGGTCTGTGCAAGAGAGGTGATCGAAAATTTCTGTTTGACATTTATTTTTTTATCTTACTAATAGTTATATTATAGCTTAAGTACTTGATAGCTGATGTTGTTTCATACATTAAAATATTTTTACTCTGTTCATTGAACGGATTGAGTAACTGAGCTAATGGCTGGATGTTTTACCTTTTATGCTTCCAATATACTTCAATTATACTTCATTTCAAATGCTGCTAGTAGTACCTTCTTTTTTTAACCTCAATTCTCTCAGACTCTATGTATGAATGTCACACCCATGCGTGATGCATGCCAAGAAGCACTTACTTCATCTTAGTGGAATCAGTGCATATTCATTCTGTTCAAAATCCAGAAATTTTGGAAGTCTAGTCGTGAGCTCGCATTCCCACTTCCTTCTACGCTGCTACTGTCTTTTTTTTTTTCTTTTTCTTTCCAGAAAATCACGCAGAAAAATGCGTTCTCCCTGCATCTCATTGACCACCTGAAGGAGATTGTGCAATCCAAAGACGGCTCGACAAACTTCCAGGTATGTCTCCGTACCGTTGGCTAGCAGCATCCCAAAAATTCTGTCGAGACTTTCACAAAGTCAGGTCTCCCTGCTCCTCGCTGGACCTTTTAACTGGACGCCTTGAAGTTAGCTCATTTCATGGATTGCGAGGGAATCCTTCGAGCTTGTGTAATGTTATGTGAACATCAACAAGTCGACTCGGTTTCAGGATTGAGGTCTTCAGCCCACACTTTGTGACTTGTGTAACTAAATCAAGGTCCAGTCTTTGAAGGAATGAAGACAGAGTGCAATAAAACTATAGTTCCTTTCTAAACTTTTTTTGTTTAATTTTAACATGGAAGGACAAAAAACTTCAGAAGTTATGGTGGATTCTCTTTAGGTTTACCTTCGGCAACTGGGATGTCACAAGGTGTTTTTTCCCCCAAGTAGCACAAAGTGGGCTCTGAAAGGGGAACCTACAGTGAGCCTATTTGGGCAGCCCACACCTTCAGAGTTATTTTATCATTTTTTAGGCGACGTGGGATCTATTATATCATTTCATCATCCCCCTACGACGTGGGGTGTTGCAGTGCATCCCAAAAATAGGCATGCCTCTCTTTTTGTGTGCCTACTGGAAAAATTGTCGCCATTTTGATACTCGCATAAACATACTTGCTTTGTGGGTTAATAAAACGTCTCGAGCAAGGCCATCGAAAATTGGGTATTCGATGTGTACGAAATGGAATGGGAAACTGCACATTTCCATATAATGCCTGTTACACAGGTAATCGAGATGCAGAACCAGGTCGAGGCGGCTACAGACGCAGAGTTTTAGGACAGATGCCGACATTTCAATGAGCGTGTCAGGAATTCACCCTCAAACTCGATACTCTGAATAGAAAATTTCACCTCAGCCCCACAAAAGACTGCTTTCTCAACATACACGTAGAGTAGTAAGTTAGGGATGAAGTTTATCAAACCCAAAATTTCTATTTCACGTTTTGCATTGCAATCTTCGGCGATTTGGCATCAAAATAAATCCATCTTCTACGATACATTTTCAGAACCTGCACTAAATATGCTCAATATCAACAGAAAGTGCCATTTCGGGCATGCCCCTGTGTAGCTGAATCGAGGCCCAAGAAGTATTGCGTTGGCGGCCCAGAGGTCATGCCCTTGCTTTGCCCACATCTACGCTAACTTTTCCCTCACATATCAAAGGTGCAAACCACGGGGGTGTTGCATGTGAAGCTCCAACTGGGCATGCCGACATCGCACTGACGTAGGACCCGCAGGGGTATTGATTGCTGCCCCAGTCCACTTTGCTCACATGCTACCTGGGTTTGAGTCTTCAAAGTCAGACTTTTATAAGTGGGACAGTTTTGCCTGATCCCTTTGAGTTTCAGCTACAGATGCTCTATTATACCATCCAGTCTTATGCAAGGATTCTGAGCAATTATATTTTTAGTAAAAGCAGTACTTCTGAGGTGAACGTGTTGGGTAAAAATTACTTAGTGTGAGACCCCGTGAGCCAAAAAAATGTTTCGTTTGAGTGCAGGCCGCCAGTTGCACCCTGGATGCCAGCGCAAAGATCTATGCGTACCGTGTGGATCGGGTGTTCACTGAGGCTCTCCAGATTGCCAGCGAACTGGGCATTCCCTCCAGGGCCAAAAAGAACAAAGGCAAAGGTGAGTGTGCAATCGGCGCTCTTATGTGCCCATGTAACCAAAGATGAATAATGTGCTCGAGTGCAAAGACTTTTTTTTCTATCTTTTTTATGTTTGTTAAGCTGCTCGCGCATAAAGCTGAACGTTTACATTTTTTTCGAACTCAGCTTTTTTTTGTTTTAGTCTGGAAAGCATAATTTTAGTTTATTTTTTTCCTGATCAATATGTATAGATATATATAGAAGTTTGCCTTCTTTTTTGTAGTGGTATGCGTGGTGCCTTCACTGACCCGAAGAATGTTTTTATTCATCAATTTGCTTGCGTTTTCATGAGCACTGAATGCAACTTGTAGCTTATTAATTTTTTTTTTTTTTTTTTTTGTCTATGTGTATAGAACGGTAGTGCTGTTATGTGGAGTTTGAAACCGCCGTTTGAGAGGCTGACAGTCCAGAAACTGAGTTACTGGGCTTCAGGTAGAAACTGTGTTTATTCTCTCTTCTGTGCTGCAGGAGAGGACGACGAAGAAGCGGTAGCAGCACCGACTGACGATGCTCCCAAGAAACCAGCCAAGAACAGGGTGGGTTAGGCCATCATTCTTTGTACCTGGCACTTTGCTCCACGGCTTGATGCAGTAAAGCCTCGCCTCACACTCGCTATTGAATTGTTCGAACTTGCGACGTTTATTTGTGCGCAATCTTTGTTTGCCAAACTTCAAATATGTCGGCCGTCAACGGGTTCTTTGCATCCCACTCCTGCGCATCTACTGGGTAAGTAGATGCGCAGAGCGCTCGGGAGAACCAGTAGCCGTGATCGGCTCTCGGCAGAACCAATCGTCAAGACCGAAAAACTTCATGACCGAAAAACACAGTCTGCGTTGGGACACTTGGAATGAAAACTCGCTGTTACAAGCAGGCTTTTTTTTCTTTTTTTTTTAATTTAAAAGATTTTAGTTTCGTTATTTGCCGAACTCCCCCTTTTGACCACTATGATTGGCTCTCCCAATTGCTTAGTGGGAAAGTGGGTGCACCGGCATTTCTTGGAGTGTCTGGTTTATTCGTCTAAATAGCAAATTCGTGCCTCCCCTTTTGCCCTGTAATCTCTGCTGTGTTAAAGGGCAACTCTGCTTCATCTTTGTTTATGAGAAAATGCAGTGCAGTCCCCTTCAGTATCACCTAGGAAGACCACACATAAAATATTACGACCTAGTTCTGTCTAAACGTTTCTTAAAAGGTCCGGCAAACTTTGCAAATTCGCCTCTTAGAGTTGCTGAAATCGGCAAACTCTAAGAGGCGAATTGTGGCGTAACCAAGAGCGCAGTCAAGGCCATGGCGTTGGCGTAGCCAACATTGAGCGAAACGTCATCACCATTGCTCCTTTTGCTTTGTTTGTACTTCTTCGGGCAAGCGTAAAGGGTGACATCAGCAACATTTCCTCTTGGCACTCAGTGGTGTCCACATCATTGGCGTAACGCGCCTGCACAGCGCTCTTCTTGGAAGCCATCTGGCCATTACTGCCGTATCCCGTTTCACAGCCGCCGTCGTCGGCTCACCATTTGTGATTATTATCTCTTGGAGTTTCGTTCGCACTATGTGTGCAGACTAATGCCACAGTTGTGCAGATGTCGTCGAATGTCGCAGACACCAGAATAGCTACGTTTTTAGCGGCCCGAGCCAATGTTGCCAGACACAACGAAAGTTTTGGTTTCGATTTCTGGTCATGTTTAAATTAAGATTTAACCATATAGACGATTGCAAGCGAGGCGACTGGCCGCTGCCACGTCTTCGGCCGCAGAATCGCAAGCTTGCCAAGGCTATGTTCACGCTCACGCTTCCCGTGCTTGCAGTCGCCATGCTTGCATTTCTCTACATGTCCCATTTTTTGTGAAGCAAGTGACATAGTGCCCTTCATTAGTGCTTTTTAATGTGAAAGTGCTCATTATCCCAAAATTTCGGGAATTGAGCGGAGTTGTCCTTTAAGAAAACACTAAAATAAAAAAATCAAATTTATTAAATTTTTTTTTTTCTGCTTATTTTTTTTTTTTTATTTGTTTAGACTAGAAATTAGGGGAAAAGGTGTGTCTGACTGATACGCGGTGGTTCAAGACATCACAGGTTTATGCGAATATCGGCCATTTTCGAGAGGCTGTCGTTTCTTTGATTTGACTTTTGATAGGCGACACTAAAAAGTGCAATTGTCTCGTTCACAACTACCAAAACAAGCGCAGATTTTTAAGAAAAGCTGCATAAAAACAAGCGGAGAACACTGGCTGCGAAGCGTTTACCGCAGCGTGGTTAGGGGTTGTGACGCAGTCGGAATTTCAATCACGCAGCGTTTCAAAAAAGATCAGGTTCTTTGAAAATGTTTGCAAAACAAGTTGCTATGGCTCTACAAGTTTAGTGATGTGCAACATCGGCGCAGTGACGATACTTCTGAGCGATGCGATCTGCCCCACTTGTCGCGAGTGCGAATGGGAAATGCAAAAGATTTTCTTCGTCTTTCAAACTACACTTAGAGATGAGCAAGTGTTTCGAGTGGGTTCTTCCTGTCGACGTTTACTTTGAAACATGCCGCGTCAGATGGAGACGTAAGCACAAAGCAAACCTACGACAGTGGAAGCTGGCACGATTTCTGACGTCCGTCAGCTTGAAAGCCAGAAACCAAACACAAAAATCGTGCTGAAGATGCGCTTTGCCACGATTCTCAGCCTGCTTACACCAATGCACCACAAGACCTTCACTAGCAAGAAAGTTTATGCTGCAGCCGCAAAAAATTGCCAACCAAAAACTCGTGAAGACCAAAATGCTGATATGGGAGGAGTAGTTAATGTAACTCTGTTTGGTGCACATGGTGCAAGAGGGGCCAGAAAAGTTACAAGATGCAGGGAGGGATGGTTTTAGTGACTGAATGATTTTTGAACACCCTATTTATGTTGTGTCCCAATTTCTAGCAATTCCAGCCGATTTTTGGAAGTGATACGTTTTTTGAACTTTGAAATGCATTCTCCTCGTTTTGAAACTCTGGGTGGTCTTCTCTGCTTACGTACTCGGTTATCGGTATTTAGCCTTTCCTTCGTAATGAAGGTTTCTATGTATAGTGTAACCTTGAGGATGCATAGAGTTTCAGTATCTATTTGGAATTGCACTATCTTAATTATGTTTTTGTGCTATTTTAACTGGGCTTCTAAAAAAAATGCATTATGAAGTCTGTAACTTTAGACAACTTTTGGCTAGTTATTAGCACTCTGCACTTCATAAAAAAGCAGCGGCTAGACGAGACAATGTTGCTATGTTTGTTGACTAGCTACTTTGCTAAAAGTTGTTGCAGCATGCTCTTCGTTCGAGGGATATGTTAGGTGGTTTTATGTTTCAAGCATCTTAACCTTAACAGTGAATAACTTTTTTGTTTCTTGTTTTATTGATTTATTTTAATGTTCCTGCGTTTTCTGTTCGGTGTTTTAGAAAGCTTCTACGCTGGTTCGAAACAAGAAGACCATTACGTTGGACAAGGTGGAGGCTGCCAAACCTGTGAGTTCACTGTCTGTATGCTCCATCTGTATTGTACTTTTTTTGAACTGGTCATCATTTGCCATTGTTTATTGTGGCGCTGATAAACGCCACAATAATAATGTCTTGTCTTCTTAACTAATTACTCTCAACCCTTTAGGTTTCAAGACGATAGCGAAAAGTGAGACAGCTTATGATAACAAAAGCAGGCTTGAGAGGGCGCCCATAATTGTTTTTTTGTCCCTTGTCGTCTCTTTGTCCAAGTAAATGTGCATTAACAGCTTTCTTTAAAATAATCTGTGCCTATTGCTTAATCATGTTGAAGTAAAAAGTTGCTGCAGAACTCGTAAACATCCCGGGTCAAAAAAAAAGAAGGTTTATTAGGAAATGCGCGGGCTGCACTTAGTGTGACACGTTGCACCTTTTTGCTGCAGACAGGCTTTCAATATCTGACGTCATCACACTGGTTGCCGTCTTGAGCACATCTCGCAGTGTCATGTCCGTCATAGAAGATCAAAGGCTGTTCTTGTTGAGGGTCATCAGTGAAAACGTCTGCTCACAAATGTACATGCTCCAAAAAAGGGATGCAAGCTTCAGTGTGTGGTCCACAAGGTTTCTGTCGTTGCTCCTTTCAAGGCTACTGTAGAAGTCAAGTAGCTGAGACTCACAATGCATACTCTTCAGTCCTGGCGAGCACTGGAGGTCGAAGAGTTTTAGCTGCAGCGTCGTATCTATGTTTTTCGGTGCGACAGAAAACGGATCGCGGAACAAATCGTAGTTGCCCTTCTCACTTTCGAATGCCTGGAATTGTAGCTGGAACTCTGAGAGCGGGTCCTCAAGCTGTGGAGCGTATGTCGCAGCTACCGTCTCCTGATTTTCGCCGGTAGGAAAGAACTTCTAGCAGGTTAGAAAGTGAGCTATGCTTCCACCCCCAAGCTGCAATTTGAACTGGTGCAGCTTCCCTTGGAACGCGAAGGTCGTACCCACCATATCCGAAATGTAATGGTCCTTTCCTTGGAGAGCTGTGTTAACCTTTTGGGGTCATGTGAGTTTTCCCCTTGTCGGCCCCTCAGGTCAGAATTAGTTTATGCAAAAGTGATGCAAGCAACAAGTGACTTGAAATTTAACGTTTTTATTTTAATATAGTAATATGTTCAATTGAAAATAACTCTGCATTTTCCTGGGTGCTTTCAGTTCTTGAAATGCTAGCGGTACTTGCGCAGCGTGTGGTACTTTTCAAAGCAAGCGCCAGGGTGCAGGCCAGGTTGACAAGCGCAGATTTTGCAGTAGAACACTGTTTCGCGCCGTTGCCCCTTGGTTTTTCTGTTCTTGCAGATGGCGCAGTCCTTGTTTTTGCTTCCATCGAGTTTATCAATAAAGTGGTTCTTTCCACTCAGTCTCTCTTCACAGTCTCCATCAGAAGAGCGCCCCCGTTTCCTTGGCTGGTTGCGGACATTTCCGACAAGGTCCTTTATCAATGCCTTCCAAAACGTGAGGTGCTGCGGTGCTTGCTCGCCTTGGCTGAGTTTTTCGAGGCAGAAGTGGATGGTAGCTGTTGACTACTCCCACTTCCAGCAACCAAAAAAATAGGCATGCGCGGTGGCGGCGGCGCATGTCTCCTCATCACTCTCGGTGCTGTCACCATCACTCTCTGAGGACTCATCATGCAGAGACTATCTCAGAGGCCTCCTTTACATCATAGGTGTCTTCTCCACTAAAATCACACTCACTGTGACTTGAGTCACAAGCCTTTCCGTAAAATGCGGACGGAGTAAAGGCTGCCATGATGAACTCGTAAAAGGGCGCGCAACATTCCCGCCCCCGCATTTTGCAAAAAAAAAAAAATGTGTAGCGTCATTTGCAGCACCTTTCGAAGGGCGAAGAAGTCTAGTTTACATTCCCGATGACAGATGGCGCAAGTTGACATTGTCGGGGCGCGCCCGACACCTGACCGCAAAGGAGAAATGGGCCTGTCGGGGGAGCCCCGACATTTGACCAGAACCTGAATATTTTTTTGTCGGGGGTCACCCGACACATGACTCCAAAGGGTTAAGCGCGTTCAGATGGCTTGAAATATTGGTGAGGAATGTCAAATCCCGCAACCATTGCTCCTCCTCCGGCTGTGGTATGTGTTTCCCTTCCTCTCACAAGAAAGTGATGATGTCGTCCTTCAGCGCGACGAAGCGACTCAGAACATTCCCACGGCTGAACCAGCGAACTTCAGTGGGATACGGGATGTCCGTGTGCAACTTCCTGTGCTTCAATCCCCGGGCACGTATAAAGTTAACAACCGAAGTCACGGCCTTCATCACATGTCCAGACTTCGTCATTTTGGCACAGGGTGATTCTTGGTGTAGCACGCAATGATATTGCTTCAATTCTACGGCACTGTATGCTTGAAGTAAGGCAACAGCTCCGTTTCTCTTTCCCATCATTTCTGGGGCTTCATCGGTGCAGGCACCTGCGAGTTTTTCCCATGGTAGCTTGAACTTCTTGATGACGTCTTTGACTGCCTTGCTGATCTCTTCTCCCGTAGTCCGTCCATGCATTGAGCAAAGCTCTGCCAGCTCCTGAGTTACTTCAAAGTTTTTGTTCACACCACAGATGAAAACTAGCAGCTGAGCGGTGTCTTCCATGTCTGTGCTCTCATCCAAAGCAAGATGAGTTGAGAAAAGCTACTAGCTTTTCTCGACGCAAAAATAATCTGGTATTTTTATCTTCTGCAACAAGTCATCACTGATCATGTCCCAACAGGAGGGGAGAGGGCTGTAGCCTTTATGGCAAGAGGAAGGAGGAAACGGGACATAGGAGAACAAGCAAATATGATATGACTAATGCTACGCCAATACTAGAAACTCCTGCGTCACGCGGGCAAAGAGTGAACGCAGGTTTTTGTATTGTTGTTATCTGTGGGTCTAGCCAAGAGAGAATTTTTTGGCTGAGGACGTGGAGTTTCCCCCCGGAAGAGAGGACTCGGAGAAAAGTAGGTCAGCAGGTTCGAATGCTTTCTGCCGAGTGAATTGCCGGCCGCGGTGCACTGAATGACACGGCGAGCGGTTCCTGTGTTTAGCTGGGCCGCGGATCGTATGTTGTGCACTTCTGCTGCAGAGAGTCAAGAAACCAAATCGTGTCATTCCATCAGGGTTATAAATAAATAAAGGGCAAACGCCAACCAATCCCTAAAAGATTGTAGGGTCCCAACGTTTCGGTGCCTGCTCGGCATCTTCTTCAGGGGGGCTATTTAAAAGAGAAGCAGGTTCTTTCTCTTCTTCTGCGGTGAATGTAGGGCAGTATCTTCGTTTTTTACGGTGGTTAGTTTTCAAACCTAAAAACTGACCACCGTAAAAAACGAAGATACTGCCCTACATTTACCGCAGAAGAAAAGAAAGAAGCTGCTTCTCTTTTAAATAGCCCCCCTGAAGAAGATGCCGAGCAGGCACCGAAACGTTGGGACCCTACAATCTTTTAGGGATTGGTTGGCGTTTGCCCTTTATTTATTTATAACATTTAACCCAACCAGGCACACATCTGCCGAAATGTTCACCTTCAAGTCCATCAGGGTCACTTGTTTAAAGTCAATTACCAACCACGAAAGCCGAGGGAATTATCTGTTTCTGTTGCCGGCCCTCTTCAGAGACAAGGTAAAAGAGCTAGCTCCGAAACGGCAGACAAACAGAAATTAGTTTTTGCGTGTTTGAGCGTCTTTATCTTTTTTTCTCTCTCCCGGGTGTTTAACACAGAGGCAAACCTAGCCTTTTGCCGTCCTAAACAATTTTTAAAGGTCTCTCCCCCCCCCCCCCGCATCCCCCAGTAAAATGTTTAAAATTAAATTGTCTTTAGTAAATATCCCTGTGTGGACGCAGTCTCGTGTGCAAAACAAGTGAAGTTGTCCAGGTGTGTTCCGAAATTGAATAAAACCTAATTCAATGGATTTAAACATAGGCAGGAAAATATGGCTTCCAATTACTTTTTTTTATATATGTGTATATATATAATAACAGTTTTATTCAGCAAATAAGGCAACACAAGAGAGCAGGTCTGCCTAACCCAATGTAAGGCTTCACACTTGTCTTCCGAAGAGAGACACCAAGATGTCCATGATGATCACTCGATCACATAAGATCATGATGATCTGGCTCCAACTTGCCGCGCGCACAACAGCCATCCTTGATAAATTTTCCGCCCCCCAAAAGTTGTCGCCGTCCGAGCAAGAGCAATGGAGCGTGTCTTTCGAACGCTCGACCTCCAGCACGCGCCCTACGTTTTCCACTGTGCTTTGGTTGCGCGCACACGCTTGAGGTGCACAAGACACCGAAGCACTGTCAAAGGTAGGAGGAAGTCTCATCGCCACTGACTGTAGAAAAGTTTTGCATCTCCTTAATCCTTCGACTTCGGCTCCCAGCTTTTCGGCCCGCCAATAGTCGCCGGTGTCTGTCGTTACGGCAGTCAGGTCGTCAAGGTCAGTTTGTCTGTCGCTCCTCGCAGATTGACACCCTGATGGAGAGCATCCGCAACAGCAGCGTGGAAGGCACGGCCGCCAGCTCCTTCCTCAACCACCTGAGCCTCCAGAGCGACGTCGGGGGCCTTGCGCTCTTCCTCGGCCCCTCCCAGCAGAAGGTGGACGCCGTGCGGGGTGACGCCACGCTCAAGATCCCGCTGGGTGAGTGGCTGTCTCGTCTCAAATTTGGCAATCGAGAACCTTAAAGGGGCAGGAAAGTGGTTTCCGAGATCGTCTGTTTATGGTCGTAACTCAATCTACGGGCCCCGAGCGTTCGAGAAAACCCGAAGTTAGGTTGATGCGCATCCAATTTCCTTATTAGATCCAATATCCATGATCACAGCACACCTGTTTTTCTGGGATTCGGGGCAGAAACTCGAAAGTGCTTTTGAACGTGCGACAATCAATTGCAAGCAATCCCTTTCCACGTGCGCATTACTCGCATTTGAAAATCAGTCCGTCATTAAATGGCCCCCTTGCTGCGTGGAAAGCAATCGCTCACAATTATCGGTTCGCCGCCTGGTCGCAGGAAAACGGCCGTGTTGCAATATCTGATGCTGTTTTTACAGCGGAGCTGTTAAGGGCTAGTTTCCCCAGTTTCGTGTCCGTGGGCAAATAAATCTCGACACAAAACTCTGGACAGCTACCGCCATCGCTCATAGATGGCGGCAATACTTCCAGCCTCTCCACTCTGGTTTTCATTAGAGTGGAAAGGCTGAATTTCTCTAGGCAACGTCCTAAAAGTCGTCCGAGAAGTCGTCCGAGAAGTCGTCCCAGGCATTGTACTCGAGGTCATCGTAGATGTCATCCTTGAGGTTGTCCTACCCTAGTACAGCTCTGCTGGTCTTCCTTTGTCACCAGAGTGGAAAGGCTGAAAGTTTTTAACAGGGAAATTGGATGCTTATCCATTTATTTCCAGGTTTTTTTGGAACGCTTAGAGCCTGTAGGTTTAAGCATGACCATAAATGGACAATTTCAGATACGTATCACTTTAGTGCCCCTTTTAAAGGGGCAGTGCAATGACTTTAATGTTAAAAGAATTGGTGGTTTGCATTTTTTATATTGTTTATACAAGCCCAAGTGACCAAACACGCGTCACCCTTCCCCGAAAAACCGCTATTCTGCTGCATAATCGCAAAGCAAAAGACAAATTACCGTATTTATTTGAATATAAGGCGGTCACGATTATAAGGCAAGGGGCCAGTTGAAGGACCCAAGAAAAAGGAAAAAAATCGTCATATTGCTATACTGAGCTCCGAATATAAGGCGGGGTATGACTTTGAGACTGCGGATTTTGGAAAAAAACCTTGCCTTATATTCGAATAAATACGGTATTAGCTAATCTGCAGCCCCCTGTCATGGTTACAGGAACTAAAATATATATGACAGTGTCTCTGGGGGATTCGCGGAAGTCGACAAAACCTGTCCCCCTCCGCTGTTACACTCGCCGTCAGCCTCGTGGCCAACCGTCTTTTGTGTCGATCGCTCGCCGCAACCTTCGACGATGCTAATCTCTTAATCGCGGAGGAAGCAGCTGGGGTCTCTGAAGAGGGGACCCAAGGGGAAACCACGTGAACCCCCCAGAGTACGTCACTCGAAGGTCGACGTGGAGAGTTGGGAGGCACTTTGACCTTCGATTTGTTTCATTTTTTTTAAAAATAATAACTAGCGCTCGCGAGAAAATATGATTTTCTGCTTTTCATTTCATAGGTGGCACAGATGAATTTAGATGAATTTCCGCAGTTAATTGACCAAAATCTGAAAATTGTTGCCTTCTCTCCTGTGCTTGTTTAATTAGTGTCCCAAAATGGCTATTGGCTGCAGCTTTTTTTTTTATAATGTTACTTTTGGGCTTATTGCCAATTAGCAGTTGTTCTCCAGGAATTGCAATTACTAAATGGTTCTTTCATTGCTGAGAGATTAGCCTTCTCTTATTTCTTCTGAAAACCAGCATATGTTGAAGTAAACTGATTCATGCTCTATGCTTTATTGAAGTGATGTGTTTATTCTGAACAACATTTTGCCCAAGAAAAGGAATTATTTCAACCTTTATGCATCTGAGCTTGGGTTGTAGAAGCACACAGAGAAAAAATTAAAAAGAAATGATAAGCTTTCAGGGGAACTTGGAGGTGGCACTGTTATGCGTCTGTTTTCTTGGGGGCTTAGAAGAAAGTATCATACTAGGTGGATAAAAATATTTCAGTTGCCAGTCCTTGCAAGGCTTATTAATGCAGAATGTAAATCTAATAACCTTGTTTTACTTTAGATTTTTTTCTTGTAAAACCCTGGTAAGCTCAACTTTCTAGATATACATGTTATACTTTGTAAAATGACTTGTTCTTTTTTTTACCATTGCTTTTTTCTCGAAATATGCTGTTGTCTCTTTTGATAAGTGCAACTTTGCCTCTTGAAGCACAGTTCTGAGTGGCTTTACTACTACTTGCTCCCTGCCGGCTTCTAGAGCTGCGTCAGAAGGTGGTGGAGAACAAGTTGAAGATCTGCTCGGACTATTACCTCGACCACCTGTGGGGCCGCTGCAGCGAGGTGGAGACGGAACGGGTAGGGACGGAGCTCTCTTAACTGTGGTGTTGCCCGTTGCTGTTCTTGTCGTTGTTTTTCAGCTGAATGCCGTAGGAGCAAAGCTGTCAAGGTTAAAGAGCAATTTAGTTACAGTTACAGTTTACATTTCAATAGAAATTTGACTTACAAATAGGGTTGCACTTTTACGAATGTATCTAGTTGCAAATACGCACAGAAAGTTACCAGGTTACAGTCAGATTATTTTTTTAATATATTTTATGACACTGAGCAATGCTGCAATTGCTAATCAACGAAAAGGATATTGGCACAGTTTCGGTTTGGTTCAGCGCTCTGTTTGCAGTTGAACTTGAGGCAGTTACAACATGTGTTGAGCTAGTCTACGATAACAGAAATTGATCTACCTATTTGGGATCTTGATACTAGACAAAAAACGTCATTAGATCCAGTTATAGTTCCTAAAATTTTATCCACTTACAAAATATTCATTTGTGGAAATAGCAACTGTTTACAGTCAGTTATACTTTAATCCAGTTGCACTACAGCTGTGGTCGCACCATACCCATTTAGGGGATTGACGAAGGACCCTTGACATAGTTTCTTGACCTTATTTTTTATTATTTTATTATTCTGTTTTACATTGGTAAGTTGCTGGTGCTTTAAGCTGTGCTATCTTTGTTACTAGCAAATGTTTTGCATGTTTTCTTGTTTGCCAGCGGAGCCCGGACATTTCTAGCTGCTCCCGTCTTGCGTCCACCAACAACGAACCCTTGGATGAGCCATCTGCCGAAGACGCACCCTCTTTTCACGACGACGGAGGCGACGGAATCGACCATGACCACTCGACGCTCCTCGACAGCCCCCCCAACAAATCTATCAGGTATTCCCAGGAGTTTCACACAGTGCAAACTCGAGCCAATCTAAGCTTGGAGTCCCGGTTTTCGCCAGAACTTCGCTTCTATCCCTGTAAGGCCTGCAAGTCTCGCATGAATAAATGGATGCTGTTACCTACGTAAAATCCATACTGTTAGCACAAGATGGATCTTACGTCGCTACATACTGGGGACAAAACCAATGCCCGTTCGTAGCTTTGTGAACACGAAATGTTTATTCCGAGCATTGGTTTGCCAAAGCGAAAACCAAGAGATTTTGAGGCCTCTTCACGCAACACGCCGCGGCGCCATAAGTCGGCGCTGGAATCAGCGCGGAACTTGCCGATGCAATGCCGACGTCGCCCTATATTAATGATACAGTGCCGACGCAGCACTTTTTCTAGTGTTGATTCAGTGCTGCGACGTATGTCTGAACCAGCCTTCACAGTGCCTCAAACGACCGAAGACAATCGAAGAACTGCGCCGCTCCTTGCTCGTGCAGGTTCGAGGGTCCCGACGACATCTCGCAGTTCCTTGCTGCAGTCCCCGGGGACTACTCCTACTTCACCAAGAGTTTCCCGTCGGCTCCCGCTGGGCCGGAGCACTGGCGCCTGCGCCTCATGAACAGGCGTAAGACTTCTGCACGTCTGCGTCTGTGTGCTCAGGAGTCATCCTGTCTTAGTTCTCTTTTCTGTCTAATCAAAGCACGGCTCGAGTTAAATTAAAAAATTTTGATGCTCCTCGTGACCTGCGCACGTCAGAATCTCTCTGTAGTACAATCTAATGTAGCAGAGGTCTGGGTACAGCGAAGCAAAGCTGAAACAAAGTACCGATGTAGTGTAGAGCTTTTGCTTCACTACCGATCCTTATCGTTGCAGTATCCATCTGCTATAGAGAAATTCAGCTGTCGTTTGCTGCAAGCGGACGGACATTGACTGACAACCGTTGCAATACAGTACTGCTCATACTTGGGACGTGTGCAGTTACTTCAAATGACAGTACAACTTTGTTTGTACATTTCTGGTTCATATGTTTTCTTCGATTTTACTTTCACGGAATGGCACGCTCTACAAACTTCTGTGTGTTGTGTTTCAGCAAATCTTTATATTTACCCGTTGGCTTCGTCTTAAACATTGCATAATCTTACCAACCGTTGCGGAGACAGACTATGACCCTGCATCCCGCGGTTACATTCCAGGATATGGGGCGTTCGCTGACCTCGCGATTCGTGAATGGGTTACTGCTTGTGCTGCCTTTCTGACTTTGTTTTTTTTTTTTTTTAGAACAAGCTTTTTGAAAGCAACACAAAGTTTCATTTTGTCATCTCCATCGTTTTCCTTTTGCACGCATGTACTACGACTTCGGGGTTGCGGAAATCTGGAGGGAAGTACTTAAACAAAGAGAAGTGTCTTTCCCTCGTTTGTTTTACTTGGTCACGGACATCCTCCAACTGTAAAGGTTTGTGGCCGCGTCGTTCGGGTGGGATGAATGATCACAAAGTCTGCGTTGGGGTATTTGTAGGGGTTGCCAATCACTCGTGTATTTTTGGAAATCGACATTCGCCCGAAAAGTGGGGTGGGCGATGACTCGGGATGTCATGGTAGAGCTACACCAAGTGACACATTAGTTTTACTTTGCGCACCGCTTGCGTCTTCGGGCGAGCGTTTTCTTCTCACGCTTTCTTCTCAAGTCGAACATTGAGACCGACTCATCCGAGTTTTCTCTTTGTGGGATGTTCTCGGAACCGCAGCCAAGCCAGACAAGGCGCCTGACAAGGGGCGCAAAAAGGCCGAGAAGGTGGTGCTGTTGCTCGACTTCGGCGAGCTCCAGCCGGATCTCGCCTGCTTTGCCCGCACCAAGAAAAAGAACGTCCTGGAGAAGGCCACAGTCGGCTCGTGGACGTCGAGCAAGCTCTTGCTCCCGCGCAACTTGCACCCCAAGGTCCCCATCCTCAGCACCTTTGTCCTCAACAAGGAACGCAAGGCGAGTGTGCATCTTTGGCGATTCCTCTGTCGCTGAATCTTTTTCGGAAACATTTTTTAAGCGTGAAATGCTCTTTAACGGAACTCTTCTCCCCCACCCCCAAAATATTGTCCGTACACCTTCCGCCAGGCACGTAGCCAGGAGTTTGGATTTTGTTTCGGGGGGGGGGGTTTGCATACTTTCTGTGAAAGTATGTGAACTAGTATGTGAAAACAGTTTGGAAAATCTGTTTTCACGTAAAAGTTGGAAAATCATTTGATGGTCACTTCTAAGGGCTAGGAGAAGAAGTTGACACTGTTGGACAACCCTTCTGTGACACGTTATGTAACTAATGGCTGCAGTTTTTGCAGTTTTTTGTTGATTTTTTTTAGTTTAGGTGGGGTTGTTTTATTGTGCTGCTTGTTGTACTGTGTACTGTTGTTGTACTGCGTGTTTAACGTCATTGTAAGTTGAAACATCCGTGAATGTCTGTCTTCCGTCCTGGTAGGTCTTATTCCGTTGTGTTTTCATATCCGCCAACATGTTCCTCGTTCGTCTCATCGAGCCATCTTTTTTGTGTTGAGCATCCTCGCAATCGCATAGTTTCATCATTTTCTCAATCGTGTTGTTTCGACATCTTCTTGTTTATTTTGTGTGTATGTACCTCGCGTAAAGACCCCGATTCTTTCGAAGCATGGGGACGTAAAATGTTATTATTCATTGCTATTACCCTCTTCTTGTTTTGGTTCCGAGCTCAAAACGTTAACACGAGTGCCACCCGGGACCTCTTTCCTTCTGCTACAGATCGGCAAGGCCACCACGGCATCATCGTCTGCGATGCAGCCAAAGGACGAGGACTATACGTACGACGCAGCGGACGACAACTTCTGTCCTGACACAGTCAGTTTCCTTCTTTCTTACACTAGTGGGGCCGTCAAACCAGACAATAGTAATCAGAAAAACGGCTTGATAATGAGAGATACAGTTTCTTTATCTCCTTAACCGTCTTGGGCGAGCTCGTCAACGGGGTGCTGTTCCCAAACCATCCGGAACTAGTGTAGCTCATCTGCTTTCACCGGTTCACGCGCTCGACCGTTTTGGACGACCCAGGCTCGTGGCTTAGTTTGCTGCCCTGCAGACAAATGACAGTACTGACCTTCTTTTAAATTTTGCTTTTGATGTTATTGGTGGCCAGGGATATAATTTCAAAGACAACAAATTTGAGTTTGAAAACAATGATTTAAGTGGTTGAGTGCTTAAAGTCCCAAAAACTAAAACTTGCTTATAGGTTAAATGTTTTGCCTCCCAGGCAGGAGGCAGTTTCACTAAAAGCAAACAACAATGCTCTTTGAATCGCCGACGACGCCTTCTGCACGAGAGGTGAAGCATTTGATTGAACTGTTCTTTGCCGTTGTGGGGGAAGGGGGATCAGCGGCCAAGTGAGTGCATTAATACGTCGCAGCTCGGAGCATGTGAAGCGAAAGCTGGCACTGCAGAAATTAGGGATTTTGGTCTCAATCCTCACCCCTGCTTCTTTCAGTCGGGATGAGCATCGTACCGGCACGCTGGCATGTGTCACTACTGCATGATGCATGTTAAAGACCCCAGGCTAGCAGCTGTACTGTGCTAGCATAATTCCTCATCTACACTGGGGCTGACTAATGTCTTGCCGTCTAAAGCACAACACAATTGCTTTCTTGTTGTTAGGTTGTTTGGGGTTGGAATATCTTTGAATTGTCGAACAACCTCTCAACACGTTTGGAACTATTTAGTAAGCTTGCTTCCAGTGTGCGACGCGACATGTTTAGCACGAACAATACATCAGCACTCTTTGTACTTTATATGTATTATGTGCTAGAGTCAAACACCAGCTTTTTCTGCCCACCATAAAATCCCAAGCAAGTGCCCACTCAAAATTGGAGATACTAGTCTTGTAAATGAGGGGGAGGGGCTCTTCTGAGGTTAACAATATGTTAATATATGTCTTTTGCATATTTTGCAAATGTTACAAAATTGAGGGGTGGGTGCCCGTTGTGGAACGAGCGAATGCTCGGTATCTTACAGTAGGTCCATGCCCTATTGCTTTAAATGAGGGGGGGCATAACCATAGAATTAAAACTTTTCAAAAAATATATTCCTTTCTTTTTTTATAGAATTGATATGTTTATGTTTATTAACTACCAAAGAATGGTTTCAGAAACTTTCATCTATAAACATGCAGGATTTATCTTAGCATGCCCGCAGCCCTCCGAGTCAGCAGGAACCAAGCTTTTGTGTTTTTTGATTTAGAACTAGGGATGTCGCGAACCACCCCAGGTTCGATTTCGAAAGGTTTCGATATTTGCAAAGCGAACTGAGGTTCGATTTCGAAAAATTTCGATATTTTCGTACCGACCGAGGTTCGAATAAGAAAAATTCGCAACTTTCGATCTCAGCGGAGTTTCGAATTCGAAAAGTTCGCAGCTTTCACGGTTTCTAAAATTTTGAATTCGAATATTTCGAATATTTTTTTACTTCAGGTTCGATAAATTCAAAGATTTCAAAATTCTTTAGAAATAAAATTCGAAAACTTCGAACGCTTCGAATTTTTATAGACATGAAGTTCGAACAATTCGAAGATTTCGAATTTCTTTCTGCATAAAGTTCGAAGGTTTCGATTCTCTTTTAACGCTACATTCGAAAAAAAAAAAAAAAAAAAAAAAAAACTCGAAGATTTTGAATTTCTTTCTAGTCCAAGTTTTCAAAGTTCGAAGTCCGGTTTTCAAGTTCCTCCACAGTTTGTTTCAAATAACGTTTTCACGACTCTCTGGTTTTCACAAAATCAAGTTTAGAAAAGTTAGGGTGTGATATCTAGATTCTGCGAAGTTGGTCAGGCAATTAGATGAGACGACGAGTGTCCCGGATGGTGCTGGAATATTTGGCAGTGCAGAGTGACGTGTGACCATAGATCAGTAATTGTGACCACCAGCCCGGGGGGGCGGGGGGGGGGGGGGGGGGGACTTTAACCTGCATCACGCAGTAGTGATCACACGAACAGACTGTTTTAGGAGACTCATCCAGTTCGAAACGGCCAGGGGCGAACAGTTGGTTGAGGCTTAGAAAAACCTTGTAGCGACCTGGCAAACTACCTCGCCACCCCTTGCACGCTGGTAGTAATCCGATCGAACGCCGCCCGAATGACGCTGGCATATAGTAAGTTAAGTTTGTAATTGTCCTGGAGGTTTATTTTCAGGAACGGAGCAATCGCCTCGCAAAAAGCCAACACAACTCGAGGTCGAGGTGCGTTCTACCATACAAGTGGCGTCGGAAGAGGAAAAACGGGGGAAAGAGGGTAGTGAGGGGGCGGTTTCAGTTTCCTTCCCCCCTTCCAGATATTTCGGACTGTTAAAAAGAAAACAATACGGGGAAAGAGGGCGTGGTCGAGCTAATTTTAATCTTAAATTATTTATGCATATGTATAGCTACTTTCGCGCTTCACTGCATAAAAGATTGCGTAGATGGTCATTGTTAGAAACACTGACCTCTATGACAGTCATTGAGATTGAGATTGTCATTGAGATCAGTGGTTAGAAACTAGTTGTGAGAAGGCACTACTCGTCACATGCTTAGTGGTTCGGAAGTTCAAAGCTATGCCTTTTCAACCTAAATACCTGTGCCAATAGTAAAAAAAATATATATATATATATACATAAATAAAAATAAATGCGAAAATAAAAAGCTGAAAAGAAAAAGAACTATCACGAATTCACCGGAAGTGTTGTATTCTTGCATATTTAGAGGTTCAGAACTTTAAAACAAGTTTCTTTTACCAAAATGTGTACGGGCTAAAAGAAATACTTCCCAGGAACGTGAAGCGAAAAAAAAAAAAGTTTTCTTTTAATGACGTGCTGAACTTGAACACTATTAGAAATTTTCTCCCATGAGTTAATTACGTAAAAAAAAAAACAATAAATACATTATTTTGTATTCTGCAGATGGCAATGATATGTACTGTCTGTGGTGTTAATTTAAATGCGATACCTCAAACAACTTAGACGAAAATAAATATCAAGTTTACGGCATAATAACATGTAGATACATGTTTGGACATTTCTTCAAAACTCGCGTTGAATAACAATAATCACATCTTAAGACGGCACTTACCTAGGCTATACATAGATCATTCTTAAAGAAGTATAACACCTCTACCATAAATAGCTTCGGCTACAGCGCGCTTCAAATCTGGCACAAACGACGATCGTCAAAAACCCGTCTTCAAAAACCCGTCGTCCTTCCTCGCTCCTTCGGGATTCTATTTCTTTAGAACTAAGCATGCCAGAACATTGAAACAAACGCCATTGTCTTTCGTAAGGAACGCAGCACCGCGTGTAAACGTTCGAGAAGAAAAAAATTACGAATGTACCTCACTACTTGAATTCAAATGAAACCGTCCGCCAGTCTTTCGAAGTTCGACGAACGTCGAACTTTTACCCTAAAAGTTTGAAGTTCGTCGACCTTCTGAGTTTTCAGGATTCGAAAGTTCGAAACTTTTCGAATTATCTTGATAAATAAGTTCGAAATTCATCGAATTTTTTGGTCAGTCAAGTTCGGAAGTTCGACAAGCATCGAACTTTGCAGCGCAATAAGTTCGAAAGTTCGAAAAAGATCGAATTTTTTTGCGTAATAAGTTCGACGGTTCGAAAAGCGTCGAACTTCTTAGCTTAACAAGTTCGAAAATTCGACTTCCGTCGAATTTTACGATGTCGACAATTCGAAAAATCAAAATCTTTCGAATCTTTCGAACCGCTTGATTCGATCATCGAAACTTCGATTCGAAAAAAGTTCGCGGCATCCCTATTTAGAACTGTTCCGAAGTCGTTTGACATAGCCGGGACATCTCACCCTCATTGGAGGCGCCACTTACAAGTTCGCCCGTAGGATCTTTCAAAGTTGAAAAGTATCAATGGTCAGGAAAACCCCATACATCTGAACAGACAAAATGCTGAAAATTTTGGCATGAGCAATCTTATTGGTTGAGACCCAAAACTGGGCTTACGATTGGTCTTGCCCGGTGACATGATATTGTGCCACCTTCAATAACACCCTTTTTGACAGTGTCTTTCACTTTGGATCAAATTGTTGCTTTCCTGCTTTTTCTTAGTATGATCTTCCTCTTAGTTCTCACTAGTTTATCTGTTAAGGAATGCCTGCTACAAAGGTTAGCTCGTCAACAAACGACACAAACTGGTAGCTATTGCCAGGGGAACAATAAGGTCTCGAAGAGAAAGGTGGTAACAATGCTCACTGTGAATTTTGTGTGCTTGGGTCTCCTAGAAAATAAAGAAACTTAAAGTTGAAACTTCAAATGCATTTATTTTCCAGTTTTCACTTTTTGGCAGGAAATGTGTTACGAGGAAATGTATCATTTGACATTTTAAAAGTGTGAAGACTTCGTTTATTCAGTGGTCTTCTGGACTGAAATTTTTCAGGAACAAGTTCAGGAATACTCATAATCTGAAAAGGCTGGCTTTTTCATAATAAAAATGCAATATTTTAAAACAAATATTCATGAAAAGTTTTGGTTCTTTTTTGGGGTTTGCTGTTCTCTAGAATTGAATTTTCTACTATTAATTTTTACCCCAACTTGCACTATGGATATTCTACTTCATACTAAGATATAGAATTTCGTAAATTGCAATTAAGAGCTTGCTAAGCATAGTACATTGTAGAATTGGCCTGCAAGACTAAAACTTCAGATGTCATTGTTTCTAATGGGGTTCAATTTACCCTGAAAGTCAAAATCAATGTGAAGGAGTGTGCCTTTCTCCCAAACACGCATTTGCAACATTCATACTTAAAGTGTTGATCGCGGCGGGTTACCCTGTTGAGTGCGCTTCTTACCGAGCACCGGTGCACTGCAGGGAAGCAACAACAGCGGCAGTCGCTTTCGCGGGTGTTGCTTCTCCGCAGTGCACCCGTGCTGGATAAGAAGCGCACTCAACGGGGCTATCCCGACGTGATCAACACTTTGAAAAATACGAATAGTGCATTATTCAAAACAACCGTTCGAAGTTTAGAATACCCACGCAACTCTAGACTATAATACCTTTTATGTTTTTGGCCGAAGTTTTGCCAGCGCCTTCCGAGTTTTCTTTTCTGCTAAACCGCGCCGCAATGTTCTTGGCCCAAAATGACCCCTTCATCAACAGTAGTTATTATCGAGAGGTTGCGTCGATGGGGTTTGTCATTTCAAAAGTGTCGCATGCATAAATGTGTCTTTCGTGGTTTCAGGTTAACGAGGACTCGAACGACACGGTCACGGCCGACGGGGGAATGGACGCTTGCAACGACTTGGCACCTCAGTCGGAGTTCGGCGATGCGCTCGAGGACTTTGTTGGAGATAACTTAGTGGCCAGACCCTTCAAGGTAGGCGGAGTTTGGCATCGGATAGCATTCATTTTTCCTCGCGACATTTTTCCCTGTAAAGCTAAGGCACTTTTGTCAGACAGCATTCTTTAAAATAGTGTTTTAATACTGTTTAAAATCCTGTTTCTTTAAAAAAACTTAAAATTTGTGTTTCACAAAAAAAAAGTTTTTGCAGTTTTTTTTTGGGAAGTTTTTTGGGGAGCTTTAAACACTGTGGGGAAGTAGCCATACTTTTAGCCTCTCAAATATGTTCTCGCACAGTGGCGTCACAAAGCAGTACATGCGCCAAGACTGTTATTTGACGGGACGATCGTTCGGCAAATCGTGTCAGGATGAAGCGGCCTCTTACCACGATTCTTTGGCATGCTGCAGAATCTGGATGACAGATCACTTGAAGTTTCAGAATTATCCAAGGTGCGTAAAGCGTGGTGTAAAACCCTTAGAGTTGTAAGGCCTTTAAGCCTTTGCCCATGTACTGCTTTATTTGTTCAAAAATAGGCCTACCTTAGAAACAGACCTGTGCATCTGCTTTTTCACAGAACCTATGGAGACCTATTATCAAAAGAACACTCACACCCTTCAAAATATTGTTTTTTAATTTTTTGCCAGGGAATTATATTTGGTGTTGGAAAACTACCCAATTAAAATTTTGCTACAGAGTCGCGTATATTTTTAATAAAACTGGAAAACTCAGCTGTTCGAAACCGAAAAATGAGCATGGAGTTAATGGTTGCAACATGTGAACTAGAAAGGAGAGAGAATTGTAGAAGAGGAGAGAGTTGGCCAGAACTCACATAGCTACACCTGACCACGTTTTTTGGGGTTTCTTTTTATTCCGTATTTTTCGTTGTGTAAAGCAGAAGCAGATGACAGTTTTTACATTGTAATGTTCAAGATGTTCAAGCATGTGAGGAGGAAATCTTCACTCTCAGTACTGCATCCAGTCGACTGTAAATCAGAAAGTTTGCTGACAGTTTCCCTGCAACAAAGGTCTTCCCCAGGCTCTCGAATCAGGTTGCACCACGCATTGGCCACATTCGCACCTAGTAAAGATGTCATACATATTCAACACCAAGAGCACACTTTGTGCTTGACATTTATGCGTCTTTCAAGCTCTTACCAATTCGTGTTCGTAAGACGAGCAAGGTCTTCAGCCAGGTAGAAGGGGCGACGACTTGGCATGTCTTCGTGCGGATCAGTTTGGTGGTCGGGCTCATTGTGTGGAATAAATCCTAATCGTTTTGCGCGGTGAAAGATTTCTCTTTCGGAACGAGACAGATTCGCCAGTACCGCGAACGACAGTTCTAAAATAGAGGTTTCACACCCGTCATCCGCCACCTTCACTTGGGCAGTTTTGTTCAGCCGTCAAGAGTCCATCCCAGTAGACACCAGTGTTGCGGAATGGGCACCCCCATTCCATTCTACTTCCATTCCGGGGAATTAGAGTTTTCGACGATTCGATTCCTTTCAACTCCTAGGAATGGGGACACGTGGCCCATTCCCACTCCTGGAATGGCTTAATCATTCCATTCCATTCCTCTAATTCCTAAACGTTAAAAGTGTCACTTGACAGCTCCATTACGTTGCAGGGCTCGGCAGAAATATTCAAAAATGTATTTCGAAATACAAATACTTGGATGGATGAAAATAGTTGCTAAGATACTGATAATCAAATCTGTAATCTCAAATATATCTGGTGTCTGATTCTCGTCTTTGTGTTCTCGTTTTTGAGCGCTAAAATATATTCCAAGTTCCAAAGCCAGCTAGCCCAACAATCTATTTTAATGTAAAAATGTATTGCGATATGCATCAGAAATACATTTTAAAAAGAGGCAAAAATTCTTTGGAAATACAAATACAAGGATACATTTCAGGGAGGGCAGAAATATAAATACTGATAATGCAATACATTTTTCAAATTTCTTTGAGATGCCAACTGAGATTAGACTTTAAGTTTGAAGTGGAAGTTTTTTTTTTTTTGGTTTCGAAATTACTTTTCCGGGGGCTTGGCATCTGGCCTTGAAGGTAGTGGTTCCGGACGAAGAGTCCTTTAAGGGCAACTCCGCTTCATTTTTGATATTTAGAAAACTATGTAACCCTCTTCAGTATCATATAGCAAGACCCCATGTCAAATATTATGATCTAATTCCGTTTATATATTTAATAAACTGGCCAGCAAACCTTCAAGCGAGCCAAGTCGCCGAAATCTGCCAACTCTAGCGTGCGGCGCGGGGCGCAATCATCAGCGCAGTCAATGCGACGGAGTTGGAGCGGCCAACGTTGAACCACTACGTCAGAGGCATGACTACGTCATTCTCACGTTTTGATTGTTTTTACTTCTCAGAGCGAAATTGAATGATGACGTCATGAGTTTCTCCTCCCGGTGTTGGCTGACCGGGCTAACACGGATGCGCTAGTTTGCGCTGCCCTGCGCGCTTATCGGTCTGTTTCTCCGCTCCCCTTTTCTTTCGTCTTCTCCCCTTGCCCCTCTCCCCCGGGCCATCACCGTCCACGCCATGCGAAGCGACCTGCCCGCGTCCAATAAAAAAAAGAAAAAAAAGACCTGCCCGCGTGGCGTGTCCTGTTTCTCGCTCCCTCCCGAACGACACAAGACCACGTGGTTCGACGTGACGTGGCCATGACTCTGACGACCCGAGACCAATGTTGCCTGACGCAACCGAAGTTTCGGTTTCGGTATCTGCTGATGTTTAAATTAGGATTGCACAAATAATATTCCACGTTTCGCGAATCCGAAGACATAGAGTTGTTTAGTAGTGTTTTGTGAATTTGAATCACATGGAAGCCTAAATTTTTCGGGATTGAGCGGAGTTGCCCTTTAATGGGTTTAAAAAACGTTCCATCGAGGATTGTCTAATTGATCAGTGATGCGAAAAGACTACGACCTCTAAATAAATTCCATCAAAACATCACTACTTCCCTGCCAGCACTGATCACATGACGTCACGGTGGGATGAACTAGTATTCTTGAATCTGTAGGTGTTGCCTTGAATACTAAACTTTACCCACGCTGCTGTATGAAAGGACAATACATATTTTCGTTGTAGGCGACCTCGTTGAAGACCATGCAGGCAATTGCATTTGGAATTTTCGAGAAATGTGGACCACCTGAAGCATCCTGAAGCACATGTCTTATCTTCTGTTACGGTTGAAAAATCAATATGGTGGCATCTCTGTTGTGACGGTCCTCCCTGCCGACTCTCCGCCTCCAACGCATGAACGGCAGTCTTCAAGTTTCGCCTAGCATCATTCAAACAGAGACCTCGTGGATTGCGACCTAAGATGGCCGGCACAGGTGCGAGCTCTCCGAGAAACAGCGTGCTCTAGACGAGTCAAAGGTGTACGAAGTCTGGGTCGGCACAGTGAGGCAACGTCTGGCCTCCTTCCTGGGTATCGGATCACCAGAGCAGCGGGTCAGGTTCACGTCGGCTGATGACGTATCCTTGAGCCATGCAATATTACAGGGGCAGACGCATTCGGATATCCGTTGAACTTCACTGGTGAAAGGCACCACCGCCGCCCCTCTGCCCCCCTCCCCCTCTGTTCTTTGCTCTGATGCTTGTTTTTTGTATTGCTTTTTTTTTTTCGTATAAGTTTGTTAGGGCCTTACGCGGGTTCGCAGTTTCCAGCTCTTTTTATTTTTGAGCAACCGACTCCCTGACTGGCTCGGCGTAGCTGAACGTAAAAAAAAATAAAAAAAAATATATAAATAACCTGGCCCATTCTATTCCCATTCCATTCCGGGCAAAAGGCATCTAATTCCATTTCCATTCCATTCCCCTGATTGTTGCCGCCATTCCATTCCCATTCCATTCCGGGGTCGCAAAAATGCGGAATGATTCCGGAATCATTACAACTCCGGAGTGGCAACCCCGCAACACTGGTAGACATAGCGCCGATGAAATCGGAAGAGCAAGTGACGCGTGGGAGGCAGCGCGCTCGTTTTATACACTCGTGATGTGGTGCCACCTCCTCGTCATTGACTGCGCCGTCACATGCCCAATGACGCACATACTAGGCCACACCTTTAGTCGGCCAGATGGCTGTGACGTGACGTGTGCAGTGACGCATGCACTAGGCATACCTTTAGTTCAGTCAGAACCGTAGAGCCACTGCGGCGTCGAGGAAGCGTGCTCGTTTCGCACCCTGGAGGTCGGTGTTCGATTCTCACCCAGACCAAAATGTACCAAATTTTCATTTCAGTCATTATAATTTACTTTGCTTACAGGAATCCCATCAGAAATTTGACATCAATCCAAGCATTTTTGACGTGTTTTTACTCTTTGTCTTTGGCCAATTTGTGTGCCATCGCTCGGTCACGCCGCCAACGATGCCAGATTTTCGCGTAATAAACCATATAATGCTTTCGCATTGAAAAAAATTCAATCCACTTAGATTTTTTTTTTTTTTTGCATTTTAGCATTTTTGGTGTCTTGTTATTCTCCAGGCCTCTCGCGTAAATCGCAATGATTATCTTTTCCTGAGCATTGCAGAAAAATGTACATGCAGGCATTGTTCAGAAAGAGGTTGACTTATTTTTTTATTAAATATAACATGTACAGTAGGCTCGCAATAATTCAAACTCGGATATTTTGTACTTGTTGATAATTCAAACAAATTTCAAAATTTTGGTTGTCTTGCTATGTTTTTAATCTATTCATAAGCCGCTTAATTCGTAGAGTGTTTTCGTGCAATTCATACTTTTTGCTCCTGCGGCCCGTTGAGTGCACTTCTTTCTGAAAACTGGTGCACTGCAGAGAGGCAACATGTGCAAAGCTTGCTTGTGCAGGTTTTGCTTCACCGCAGTGCACCGGTGCACGGTGAGAAGCGCACTCAACGGGGCTCACGCGGGCGCTCACGAGTTATGAAAGCGCTTGCGGGCATTACGCGAAAATTTCTATAGCAACTTGCGCGGACGCTGCAACGTGGTGGCATGGCATACGTCAATGTCACAGCGTCCGCGCAAGCTGCTATAAAAATTTCCGCGCGGTGTTTGTTCTCATCGCTCGTGTGTCCTGTGCTCAATAAATGGTTCATATTGGCGGCAGGTTTTCCGTGTTTCGTGTGCTGCCAGTCACGGGCACTGCCTAGTGCGTCATTGCGGTCGCTGTCACTCTCGTCGTCATCCGAAGTTGTCTCGTATTCACAAGCAATGTCAGACTCGCTCTGGGAGACAAATTCGAGGTCTCAACATTGCTGCTGTCTTACTGCTGCAAGATACAGCTCTTTTTTTTGGAGACATCGCCGCCACCAGCATTCCTCGTTCGTGTCGCCATTTTTAAATCTCCAATGCCAGGCCACCGACCGTTGTCCAGCTAAGCACATGGCAAAGGCGCAAAACGCCGTTGTTTTCTGGACTTCTATTGCCCCCTGGTGTTGAAAATAGAAACCGAAAGCAATTACCAACCGTAACTCGTCTGGCGCAGAGCGGCACAGCATTGCGGGTGAATGAGTGTGACTCTTCATTGGCGGTATTGGTACAAACTCCAATGACTAGTACGGCTCGGGCCTGGAAGTTAGAGGGTTGGACGACTTCTTGTCCCAATGAACAAACTTAATTTTGTTAAGAGTTGTCCACGATAAATGACATTTTTGAAGGATAAATAAACTTACCCTATGTGATACATCTCACAAATGTTTCACATGTGTCATACCTGCTTATGATCAGTAGGCTTATGTAGACGAAATCATCAAATATCTGCTTCCGGTATGTGTAGCCATTTATATAGCAAATCAGAGTTTTATCTTGCATCATATTTAGTTCAATTTCTGATAATGCAAACAAAATTCGTAGCTTCCTAGAGTTTGAATTAGTAAGAGTTTACTGTAGCCCGTTCAAATATGGAGGGGAACTTTTTTTTTTTTTTTCTTGGGCCTGATTTGAGCGTGTGTTGCTCACTTGTCTCGTGGCATGATGGCCTCTTGCTCGAGCTGACAGTCGACTACGAACAGTTATCTTTGCCAGTGTTTTTGTTATCGCCCAATAAATTCTGTACTTTTGGGATATAGACACTAACACCTCTTTTTTCATTGTGTTTCTTTGTGCAGATCCCCAAGCTGGAGATTCCAGTGTTTAGAGCCAACAAGCGGTTCGACATGAGGCAGATGAAAGCGGCCATCTGGGAGACGATCTCCCCAGGGACAGAGAACAAGGTGCACCAAGGATCCGACGCTCTTTTTTCCGTTCCCTCCGCAGTGGTCCGCGACTCGTGAGCAAACGACCGTGAATGTATAATCGAGTTGCGCGTTTGTTTAGACTGTGGAAACTTAGTCACCCCAATAGGTGGCATCCGGTATCTTTGCCGTAGATGAGAAATTGAGACGGTTAGTGCCACTGCTAGTCTGGGGTCTTTAACATGCACCACGCAGCAGTAATACACAACCGCACACCAGTACGACGCCCGTCCAGATCGGAACTGGCAGGGTTTGTGGATCCGCCCGGGATTCCGGGTTTTGCAGCACGGGCTCTCACTCCACGTGCTCCAAACTGCGGTGCATTAACGCGCTCAGCCAACAATCCCCAGACTTCAAACTCAATCCCGTGTTTGTTGCGCCATTTTCAATTTGGTCGCAGGAAAACGTCGGCCCGAACCATCGAGGCAAAGGAAGCCCTCCTCCCCCAGCCAAGGTGGACGGTGCAAGGAGCTTCTGCGTCATGTACCGCGAGCTCCTGCCAAGGCTGAACGCCGTGAACCGCGAAAATATCAGCATTCCGGTGGCCTTTGTGGCGATGCTTCACCTGGCTGCTGAACGGGCAAGTTCCCTCTCACGGCGGCGTGCACTCCACTCTTGCCATTTTGAAGCCGGAAGGGGATATGTACCGGCATCTCTGGGACCAGGAACGATGGACCCGTGGTTTGATTGATAATGTGGGAAACGTGAACGGTAGTACTTTTGACGGTCTTGGTGACATTGTGATTGTCCAGACGGTTTCGTCGTAGATTCGTGGTCCCGGCAGTGTCGTGACTATTAGTGAGGTTTCGTCGTAGCCTTACGGTAACAGCAATTTTGGCGTTGTTAAAAGTGTTTCGTCAGTTTTAAAGGCACATTGCAACGAAGTTCCAGTGCCTATTTTTGGTCTATTTGTGTTCGAGGGAGCAGTATCACATCAGACACACCAATCTCTTGTTGAAAAAGACAGGAAAAAGAATTTTAAGACAAATTAGCTAAGAGCACCTGGTGGTTGTCACTAACGCCTCGTTTGTAATGCCCGTCTAAGAACCTTGACAGCTAGTGACGATAACTGTCTTGCCTCAGGCCACCACGAGAGAAGAGGGGAAGGAGGAACTTCCCTCTCCCCGAGAATATCTTTTGTGTGTCCCAGAAGTCGCTATTGTCCCTGTACAAGATTACAGAAGATTAACCTGTCACTCAAAATTGTGTACAAAAGCAGCCGCTTCGGCGGCTGGAACGACTAGGCCATGCTCTCAACGTCAGCCTCGCCGCAGCTTTGCTCTTCCCGAGACGAACTAAATCACGATTGCGGCGGATGTGACGTGCTCTCCGCTGGCTGCTCTCCGAGCGCTTGCCAGAGTGGGCCGTTTATAACGAAAAATACATCCACCGGGCTCAAAATACAAACGCGCGATTATGATTTACGGATATTGTTTATCATGTTCATCCTATTTCTGAACACTTCAAGTTTCAAATTTGAAGTGTTCAAATATTTCAAATTTCGTTGCAGTATTCCTTAAACGCACCAGCGATGTTTGGATGCGATTACAGCTTTAGAACTCTAAAGGTGCTTGCTGCAGACGTGGGGACAAAGTTATTTAAAGACACATGCCTCAAGCCTTTTCGAAGCACGTTCGCTCCATTCATTTGTACGCTTCTAACATTTCTGTAGACAGTGACCCATGCAACGGGGCCGTCATTACGAGGAAGCAAAAAAAAATGCCTCAAACAATGTCTGCAGGTTGCATTTTGTGCGATGTGCAAGCGGTATGGTCGTGGCTTTTAAGGGGAGAAATCTAAATGCTCCAGAGCGGCGAAATTGAAATGGTAGATGACGTGCTAATTTTAGTTTGTTTTTCTTTTTTCTTAGGGCATTTACCTGCGTGGCAAAGAAGACATGTCGGACGTAGACATCGAGCTCCCCGAAAGTTTGGTCATGGCGAAAGTTCTCGAAGGTGCCAACGACCGTAACTCGTAGCGAAACCCCGTTTCGATGCCATGTTTTTATAATTAGAAACTCTGACAGAAGGAGTTGCTAACTCATTTTATTTTTGTGACAAAGGCTTTTGCCTTGACTGGCTATGTTTAGCGCTATATTTTTGCTGCTTTTCTGAATATAGCTTTTCAACTTATCTTACTCCTGCGTAATTCACTTCGACAAAGCACGTTTACGCGCCTGTGCTTGATTGGATGCATGATAAGAGTTGGGAGGTGCTTGGGGATGAACTAGCAAGGTCCAGAGACATTTTTCTTTGTGAAGTTATCAGGTCGATTTCCGTTTGCATGATATTCAATCCCAAGATTCTGGGAACTAGGTACAGAGAAAAATTGATTTCAATGTCTTGTTTTAGGAATTCGAAATACAGTAAAACCTCGTTATAACAAAATGGGATATAACAAACTAATGGATATAACAAAGCAATCATAATTCCCCTTGCTTGAATAGTTGGAAGAAATGGACATTGGCTATAACAAACTAATGGTTATAACGAGATAATTATGACCGCTCCTTCAACTTCTTTATAACGAGGTTTTACTGTAGTGATTTACTTTGTCAAGGGAAATCTTTTTCTAATTGGTCGTTCAGCTGCTTCCGAGCAGACGTGCTTTGTTTCGTCTGGCAATTCTGTCGCCCATATGGCCACACTTGTTTTACAGCGGTAACTGTTATGGGCTCTTCACACCTCTGAAAATGACGTCAGTTGTTGATGATGTAGTTGGCGACGTAGGGCATCTGTCGTCGAAAAGGTAAAATGCTTGGAAAAAATTGGCAGCCGCCCACGAGAATCGAACTTGGATCCCTTGCGTGCAGAGCGGAGATGTTGCCACTGAGCTACGCCACAGCGTTTATATGGCATCGTCATATGTAACTAGTGGAAAACGACTTCAGCAACAAATTTTCCGCATGTTTTTTTTTTGTTTGTGTTTTTTTTTATGGGGGGGGGGTTTGTTTATTGAGAGTAGTGCCGTATAACTTTTCCACTTTCCTATCGGTAAGCTTTTGCATTAGTTTAAATATCGAGCCAGTGTCTCGTTCTGAGCCGCAGCACTGTACCACGCTGCTTGCACTGCGGGATGTTTCAAGTTGGTCTCGCGTGGAGCAGGCGCCAGAGTAAAGGACTGAAATACGACGATGGCCGTAGGTCGGAAGGCATTGCCACGAAGCTTGGAGCTGCGGACACGGCGCCTGGTAGATTCCTGGAAAAAAAAAGATATGGAATCTGTGACGGGTCATGCTACGAGTAGTACGTAGTTGTTTGGAAGAACAGAGCATTCTGCAAAGTTGGACGGAGTGTGATGTCGCAAAGGCATCATCGTCATTTGCCTTAGATGGTCAACGGGTAGGTAGCGCCATCTTGTGTGGACTTTTCGCAACTTTGAGACGGCCTGTGGCCACGATCATTGGACACGAGCTCTAGCCGCAGGGCTCTGTTCGACTGCGGTTTGGTGCTTGCAGTCGATATTGCCAGGAGCGACTAGGGCTATTCCAAGCCATCGTCCTTGATTCTTTTTTTGTTTAGTCTTAATTGTGATATTCAATGAATGGAAAGCCTAAGCCTTCCCAAAAATGTTCTGTGCCTCCCCACTGCCCCACCACTATGAAAAGCCTGGGGCCATCTGAGCACATGGAGCGAAATCCCCACCCCTGCCCGTTTCGTTCTGGATTAGCATCGTGTTAGCTTGCAATCATGTGTCACTACTTTGGCATGGTCATTCCGTGACAAAGGAGATGCGGCAATATTTTCATGTCTAGGATATGTACGAAAAAATCAATTTGGATCAAAGAAGCCTCTAAACTCTAAAAACATTGTCTTTTTGTGAAAAAAAAAAATTAGTTTTGTTGGTATTACACTTTAAATTACTTGATTTGGCATAAAACCCATATAGTTAAGAAAAACATTGTGAAAAAACGGTTGCATACCACAATAATTTAAGCGGGCACCTAATTACTTAACACTATTGCTCATCATCAACACGATTCATTTGTACTATTCCATTTCATCATCATTAGAAGCGGCACTGCAGCGACGAGATGTTTCGGTGGCGCCACCTCGCAGGCGTCCTCCTGTGACTCAGCTGGTAGGATTCGAGCAGACGACGCGTGTCAAAGCACGGAGTGGCTATGTTAGTTTGCATCTATGCTGATTACAAACGGCTTATTTATTAAAGAAACGCGTATAACGTTTTTGTGAGTGATCTTTCTTATAAATAACAGCGCCTCAAAGTTACTTTTTATATTAGAGAAACTTTAAAATGATCATAAACAAGCCTGGAGCTTCACATTACTGCTTGTGCGGCGTGAGCCAGGCCTATTCACAGCCTCTCTCATTCTCGTTCCTCCGGATGTAGAGGTTGCTGTAGAAAAAGGTTTTGCATTCATCAGGGTAAATGACGTGTTGTCTTCTTAGCTGTGCACGCGTGCACAGTTGTGTTGCAATGTGCCACGCTTGTTTTAGCTACGTCGAGCCTGTCGATACCGACGCTTCTATCCAAGAGTGACTATAGTCGCTGCCGAGCAAAAGCTCATCAGCAACTGACGCTTAGCTTTTTCCAAATCGAATACGTGGCGAAGAAGTTCGTCACGTCGCGACTTCTGCTCGGAAAAAAGCAGAAATTTTCATAAATTCTTAACATGTCGGCCATGGCCCGGCAAATTCAGGCAATTGATTAATTTGTTCTATCCTGATTTTACTGAGTGTTTACAAATTTAAAATCGCTCGCTAAGAAGCGCATCACGCATTAGGCACATTTGGGTCTGCAAAAATTAAACATACAAACGGTAGTACATAGAACACTGAAGTGCCACCAACTTACTTAATTTACGACTTCTATAAAAAAAAAAATTAAATACTTTGTTGGTGTCCCTTTGGGACACTGACAGGGTATTTATATGCCCGCCAAGGTTTTTATTTGTACATGGCATATGAGAGCCCAACTACCCAGAACACAATTTACGGCTCGAAATTTGATATCTTTCCACGCCCTCTCTTCTCCGTGATCACGGGCCGTTTTTTGTGGTTTAGACCGTTAGACGCAACCACCAAAGATAATTAGTCGTGGTCATCGAAGGAACGCAGTCAGTAGTAAAAAAGTGCATATATATATATAATACCAATTTTTTGTAGCTTCTAAAAAGCTGCACCATGCGTTACCTGAAAAAATAAAAAGGTTGCACAGCCACGTGATTTTCGCTTCTCCTCTCCGGTCCAATTTCGATTTCCAGCAGTTGTTTTTTGTTTGTTTTTTTACTTTATTAAAAATATATGTGATGCTGTAGCAAAATATTAATTAGGTAGTCTTCTAACAGCATAATAAATCGCCTGGCAAAAAGAAGGGGAGGGGGGTGTCAGTGTCTCTTTAAATGTATTTTGATAGAATATGTAGTGCTACCAAACGCAGTGTAATAATGGAAAAAGCACTCCACTCTTTGCGGCGGAAACCTCACACCCTTGAGGTTCCTTACATGTGCAGTATTTTAGACTCTCGAATTCTGAATCGACGTTACACGGGTGCCGTCTTCGCCATCTGAGTGTCGGGCTTGGCAGACATTAGATGGGGTAATAAGCGTCATCGCAAGTCGGTTCATTAACAAAATTGTTGATTACGATTTTAATTAATGGTCTCATGGCTCATGTGGCAATTGCAGTATTGACGCCGACATACTATCGGAGGCATGGCCAATTTACAGAATTTGCGAAAAGGTAATTGATTTTTAGATATTCATCACTCAGTTTTATTTCTCATTTCTACTCCCGATTTTAATATTGCTCGCAAAAAGATTGCGGCAATACGCTTAGGAGGGCTCAGTTAGGGAGAATTATTAGCTTTCAGTATAACTTGGTAATTAATTAATTTTAGCAATTGCTAATTATTTATCTTAAATATATGGTTTAAATTCGAATATTGCTGGGCATCATCGAAAACTATTAAATATACGCATTACAATGACATAAGGCATGCGCAGCACGTTCCTGGGTGGCGGTTCCTTATCGGAGCGCATCTTCGCGCGAGCAGTCCCGCTCCCCGTGGCCAAAGTAACTTAATTAATTGTTGTACAATTCTTTGAAATTTTATTTTGTCAGATGTGAAAGATTGGGGCGTTGTATCTACTCGGATGGGGAAGGTTGCTTCCATGCGAACAAATAGATAGAATTCTTTTAAATGCGAAAGCATTAACTGGTCTCATGGAGCGAGCTGACGTCATCAGTTTGAAGCGTGAAAACGGCTCCTGGTTTCCGCGATCCCAATAGGAGCGATTCGCCTTCGGTTCCATTGGCTGGCGCGCATCGACGGGGCTCCATGGCCTCTGAGATCCCGAAGCGCGTGCGCGCTAGTACGCAGCAGACGACAAAGGGGGTGGACGAGCGGCTTGCATGCTTTCGCATTCAGAACTCATAAGACATGCTTAGGTATGCCTCGAGCTTTTTTTCAATTACTTAGGTGTTGAATCTTCAACCCTTCCACTGTTATTTACTAGCAGCTATACGAGTAAATAACAAGGGGAGAAGTGAAAAAGAGCATGCCTCGCGTGCTTGGAACAAATGGCCTTGTTCAGGTAGTGTCGCCGTTCCAAAAGATTCTCCTACCGAAACCGCAAAATAGTATGAGGTGAAAAAGAAAGGAGCCTGGTGTGAAAGGTCCAAATCACCACCATAGCTTCTGCTACCAAATACAAGGGCAGTTACACAATACACAAAGAGAGTTTTGTGATTTCGTTATATTTCCACTCGATGGCATTGATATCCAACGTATTCAGAGGGACGACACCTTCTTGTCAAACAACATAGAGCCTTTTCTACTGAAGTTTTATATGAAAGGCCAGACTTCCGCTGAAATTCCTCACGTAGACGAGTTGTCAGATCGAATAAACTGCCATTACTCCCGATCTGGGAATCTCTCGATCTTCGTTCGTAAGCCATAGTGTCATGAGATCGAGGGGTGCGGCTCTTCGTCCGCCGAACAATGCTTCAGCGCATGTTTTTTTCGTGGAAGATGAGACCGTCGCATGCTGCCGGAAGAAAAACCTGGCGATTCTTCACTGACCTGCTTAATTCTTCCGTAAGCTTCAAGAGGGCTTTCTTCGTTTCGCACACCATCTGTTCTGCTTGCCCGCTAGTTGCAGGATGGTATGGTGCA